AAAGGAAGTAGCTCCTCAGCATAACTCCGCCCAAGGATCACATGGGACCGCCAGAGGGAACCAGACTCCTCAGCCATGCTCGACAACTCTCTCTCGTCGAACATGTGACGTGGTGGAGGAGCAGGAACAACAAAAACATCAGAAGAGTGTTGTCTAACAACTCTCTCTCCTAAGTATACAACCGCTCCGTAGGTCCCCAGAAAGTAGTGGCGCTCAGCAGAGTACTGTGCGGCTAATCCAGGGACTGTCCAACCACCCCATGGTCGGTATACTACCTCAGGTCCCTATAAAAATACCAATCGGGTAAGAACATGTCTAAAACGTCGCAGAGGAGCAAGATAAACACTAAAAGTCGTACCGAGATGATCCGACTCCGGACACGTGCAGTAGACAGGTCCACATGGTGGCCGCCCCAAGAGGCGCTCATCGGATACCTCCTCGGCATTGGTCTCGCCGGCGCAATGGAAGGAAAGTACTCGTAGAACCAGATCTACAAGAAATTAAACGCGTGAGTAAATGCTAACTAACATATAGGGCTAAACTTTATAGGGAATAATGTTTACCTCTACGACTTTCCAGAAAGAAGACAAAGCAACATTCGTCCTAAAGGACCGATGGCGACACGAGTCCCTCAGCGCGTGAACGAAGTCAGTATAGGCCAAGCTGGCCCAGTCATAAGTCCCGATCCGCTGGAGATCGCGAACAGCAGGGAGGTAGTAAAACAATGCCCTACTACCCCTGTCAAGGGAGAGTGTCCCTGACAACAACATCAGCACGAAGATGCGCACCCGCTGCTCTCGGGTGGTCGCATCGTCATCAAGAGCCGCTGCCAGCGTCGAGCGGCGAATCCCTCTAGCGCTGAACTGAGTCGTCTCGACCTCAGCTCGGGCCCGAACAGCAATCGGCCCCAACAGCTCCTCGACCTGCGGAGAAAAGACGTCGATACTACCGTCGAATGGCAGCGGCACAGAAGAGAACTCCAGTCCTGTGATGAGACTGAAGTCTGTAGGAGTGACCATCATCTCACCCCAGGGAAAATGAAAGGTGTTGGTGGTGTCCTAGAAGAACTCCACCAAAGCGCGTACTACGTGGTGACCCCCGCTGGAGGCGACCATAGCCTCAGAGGTCTTGAACAAGGCAACCAATCCGCAAGACTCCTATAGGAGTCTCGTCTCTCGGTCTCTGGCGATGTGCATCCTATACAAATCGCCTAGACCATCACAGCCAGAGCCGTGATGCCGTGTCCTCCCAGGCTCGGTTCCTCGTCTCACTCTCTCGGAAATGTGGTGGACAGGGGCAAAGAACAAGGTCTGCTCATCCCACTCCGGGAACCGACCAAGCGAAGTGGACGGTGTGGTGTCGTCCTCCACGGGCTCATGCTCCCGTCTAGTGTTTCGGGACCGTGAACCTGAGCCTCTTTGTCTAGCCATTCTACATTGTGCAGAATCATCATAAATTAAGGTTCTATAGTATCTAAGGGTTCGCATAGCCGCATGATACTATGTTCGCAAAAAAGCAGAGTACGTAGTACTAAAACAGAGCACAAATTCAAATTGAGCATGACAACATTTTTTCAAGCAATCAAACAATTTCTTGCAACACTATAGTGATTATTGTGACAAATTGAACAAGAATCGCTAGCAAAAACATCAAGAACAAACCACATTGTTCTTCACGACCTTAAGAGGTCCAACAATGGCAGATTGCTCATTTCTTCATCAAATTGAGTCAAACAAGTCTCAAATTACCCCCAAGGCAATATACAAACATAAACAAGCAATTTCATGGCATAAAACTTGATAAACAAAGCAAATTGAGCATTATAAGTTTTGAATTTTCATAAAATTCGTGAATGAACAAGCCAAGAATTCATAAAAACCGGCGTGAGTTGGAGGAAAACTTACATAGATCGGGAATATAGATGAAAAGAGCTTTGATTTGCAACAAATTTGAGCGAATTCGGTTGAGAAATGAGTGAGCAACGGTCAATTGAAGTTTTCGGACTTCTCTCGGGCTGTTTCGCTACGAACAGAGCAAGAAATAAAACGAAAAATTGAATTTAAAGAAGAGTTCGTGCTGGCGCCAGTCCCTAGGCATTAGCGTCACGTTCTGTGCTTGGCGCCAGACGCCAATGCCAGCGCATGGCGCTAATGCCATATGGCTGGCGCTAATTGTTTTTCAGCGACGCCAAAGCAGTCAGCCACCCGTTGGGGTTGTGCTAGCTTTCTGCAACATATTTTGGGTTCCTTGGTACGCTAGTTAGCCCCTCTAAGCAATTTGACATGATTAGGTAATCGGCTTGATTGCATAAAGTGATCGACCTGATAAAAAGATCGTCTCACTAAGCTTAAAGCGCCTAAACATTGACTCATTAGCAAAAGGCACTGACATACAGGTTCAAGAGCAAAGGGCACCGACATACAGGTTCAAGAGCAAAAGAGCGCCGACGTACAGGCATAGCAAAAGCAAAGTTCAGGCGAACTTTTAAAGATCGACAGGCGTGGATCTTCGGTATTTTCCTTTGGGAAATTATCGCATCCAATGAGGATGACTTCAAGAGAAGATATCTTCGGCATCATTCCCTAGCTTGCGGAAAGTTGTCATGAACAACTAAAGGTAATTTCGGGCGAAGTTTTCTTCGATCATAGTTCCTGAGGCATGGAAGGTGATCATAATGCGGATGAGAATTATTTCAAGAGAAATAATTTTCGATGATATTCCCTTGGACGTGGAATATTATCACAGCGGAGAAGGTAGTTTCAGGCGAAGCAATCTTCTAATTTGGAAGTAGTTACAAGGCGTAGCGGTTTTCAGGCGAGATGGCATTCTCTAGCTTGTAGGAGGTCGTCAAAACAACAGCAACATCAACAGCAAATTGGTTACTTTCAGAGACGTGTGCTCGACGGTGCAAGATACGCGTTTCTTAACTCTTTTATCTGTTTAACTAATGCTAGTTTTGCAGGTATCGGCGTTACAAGAGTGATTTAGGATCGCAGAACATTCTGAATCATTCTCCGTCCCTATCGCTACTTTGACTTTCGTTTTCGAAACTTGTGTTTCTCCAAACTCAGTCAAAGTGGGGGCTTCTGTAGACACCCATTTGTGTCTCCCCAAAACCAAACCCGGTGATGAGTACCTTTCACGTCGAATCATAATCGAATGAAACGAAAGTGTGGAAAGGTCTAGTGTTGCGGAAAGTTTTTATTTCTTTTCTCTTCTCCTTGATTTTGAAAACTTTATTTTAAGGAAACAGCTAATCCAGTTTGGTTGGTCCATGATATGGGTCCAATAGTGGTGTAGTTGGATGGGGCTTGCAAAGACCTTTCCAACGATATATTATAAGCCCGATTCCGATGAATATTGAGGAATTTATGGCCAATTTACTAAACTGGGCCCGGTTTGAGCTTTAAGTACGACCCTATGATCTAGGGGAGGGCCTAATATAATTTATCATTCCTAATGTAATTAGGAATGGTTTTAGTCTTTTAGAAAATTCTAGAAGGTCTTATCATTCTTAATTCAATTAGGACTCTTCAGTGTTTTAATCAGATCAAATAGCATTTTCGATTGAAATTATATTATTTTATCTTCCAGTACGGGAAATTTATCAGATTTTCGAAAACGCGTTAAAAGTCAGTTTGGCGTCCAACCCCAGGCCTTGACGCCTGGAATCAGGATTGGCGCCAGGCGCTAGCCATTGGCGCCTGGCGCTAGCCACTGGTCCTGGCGCCAATTAGCCAGGGCTGGCGCCAAGATGGTTTTGCGATCTTCAGACTCTGTTTTGATAAATTATCTTTTTTGGATGATTTTCTCTATAAATATCGTATCAAAAACTCCGTTTTCATTCACCAAGAATCATCAATTCTCTTCTTCATTCATCAACTCATCTACAATCAAATCATTCATCTCTTTCATTCATCTCTATTATTCATTCTTTCTTTCAAATACAAAATTCCGCATTCACAAGATCTTGATACACCTAGCCATATTCGAAGTTGCCTTCGCCCTAGACGTGAAAGGTTTTAATTTCTAAGGGTTTGGTCCCAAATCTCTATTTCAGTTATTTAATTTAATTGCTTTGATTTATTATTTTCCTTGAAGTTACTAACGTGTGTATTTTGTTATTAGAAAGAGGTACGAGGCATCCAAGTAAGTACTTTAGTGGTTTAATTGATATTATGATGTAGATATCATGTTTACATTGTTATTATGATTCCTAGTATCATGTCTAGGGTATTTTTAATATTAAATATGATTAAAAGTATGATGTTTCTTATGTTCTTCCTAATATTTATGATTGTTAGTATCCTGTTAGAGCTAAAGATTTGATTTTTATTGCTTAGTGACATGCTAGGGTTTGTTATTAATCTTGTTAGTATCATGCCTAGGATCTTGCTATGCTTTAACATGATTATAATAATTTATGATTGATGATGATTATTATTAATTATGATGATTATTATTATGTTGCTTGACACATTATTTTATTTGTTATTGCCTGATCACATCTTTTATTGCATGTTTAAAGGGAATTGGTACTTGCAATCACGCTTAATAAGATATTAATAATCTTGTTAGGTTAATTATGATTATAAATTCAAGTGATCGCCAATAATAGTTTATTTGTGCATTAAATTCAACCAACATAAATTAAACAGGTTTAGGGTAAATCTATTGATTGCATGTTAGTCAGAAAGCGCACATGAATACGAGCAGAATAAAGTAGAGGCCTATTATTAGGGCAGGTTCAATCTCTTTTAGGTTGGATTTGTACCATCATCCCCGAACCCTATTTTGGTTCATGACCTTATGGAGTTGACGATCTCTTGGATCGTTAAGGGGTGTAACCTTCATCCTCGTGAACGGTTTACAAGTTCCTTAAAAACTTGTTGGCGACTCTTTTGCTCTATCTTCTTCCCTTTTGGACGCCACCGTACTTTAGTGTATGATCACAGTGGGGTTCAAGCTAGTGGGATTTTTAAAGGCTTGAAACTATTCCCTACAAAAATGTCATCAACATAGAGTAAGAGATAAGCAACATTAGAACCATGTCGCAAAATAAATAGGGAATTATCACTCTTGCTGCAAGTGAAACCAATCTGCAAAAGATAGTTAGCAAAACATTGATACCACGCTCGGGGGGGCCTGTTTTAAATCATAAAGAGATTTGCGAATTCGGCAGACATAAGTAGGAGAATTTGGGTCTACAAAACCCGGAGGCTGATGCATAAACACAGTTTCTTTGAGATCCCCATGAAGAAAAGCACTTTTAACATCTAACTGATGAATGGGCCAATCCCTACCCATAGCAATACTCAAAACAGTACGATTCGTTGCCGGTTTCACCACAGGACTAAAAGTCTCATCACAATCAACTCCAACCTGTTGAGACTTGCCATTTACAACAAGTCTTGCTTTGTGTCTTTCTAATTCACCATTTTCCCTGTATTTGTGTTTAAACAACCACATACAGCGAATAATATTCACCCCGTCTGGTCTTGGAACAAGATCCCAAGTGTGCTGTTTAGTAAGAGCATTATATTCCTCAAGCATGGCCGTATTCCAATTATGATCAAGCATAGCAACTTTCGGGTTTTTAGGCAAAGGTGAGATAGCAGGAGTAGTGACATGAGCTTGATGATATTTGGGATTGGGCTTGAATATCCCACATTTGGCTCTAGTGGCCATGGAGTGGGTCGGCTGGGCTGTGGGCCGAGTTTGAGGAGAGAGTTGGACTGGGGTTGGGGAGGGAAGGGTGCCGAATTAATTCCACATGGTATCGGAGCCAGCGTGACACAAAGGTCACGGGTTCGAATCTCATCCGCCTCTCCTTCAAAGTGGAATTAATTCGCATCAGGTATGGGTGGGCCTGTGTTGCATCCACATTTCAAGCCCAAAGGGCCTTTCATGTGAGGAGGAGTGATAGAGTATAAAACATATTCCTAGGCCTCAACCATCAGTTTAAACTTTTGGTTGAGATGGTCCTTTAACAGTCATTTCCAAAAAATTGACTAAGGAAAATTTCCTATCATATTACCTAATGTTGTTTGTTTTTACGCTCTTTAGGTTGTTAACTCTAGGGAATGGCCAGTGATTTCACGATACAAGGCATCAGTAAGGACTCAGTCTTCTAAGGTCAAAATGATTGACAATTTGTTTAAATATGTGTCTAAGATGAAGGTATCATAAGGTATGTTTGAGGAAGATGTTGTGTAAATGTCGTCTTAAGCTTAAGCAGTCCTAATATGGATCATTATATTTCATCAGGGAGGCTCTGCTTGATTTCTATGCCAGTTCTCGGAGAAGAAAAAAAACGAAGGGAGTAATATGTAGCCTGTAAGGCTGTAACATGGAGGAGTACAAAGGCGGAGTTAGTAATTCATAACAAAATTTCTTCATTTGAATATTTACGGCTTTACACTGAACAAGGCGATCTAAGTATTGTTGTAGAGAATATTTCAAGCATTATCCCTAGCTTGAACCCCACTGTGATCATACTAAAGTACGATGGCGTCCAAAGGGAAAGAAGAAAGAGCAAAAGAGTCGCCAACAAGTTTTAGAAACTTGTAAACCGTTCACGAGGTGAAGGTTACACCCCTTAACGATCCAAGAGATCGTTAACTCCAATAGGTCTTGAACCATGACTGGTAGTTCGGGGATGAAGGTACAAATCCAACCTAAAAGAGATTGAACCTGCCCTAATAATATGCCTCTACTTTATTCTGATCGTATTCATGTGCGCTTTCTGACTAACATACAATCAATAGGTTTACCCTAAACCTGTTTATCTATGTTGGTTGAATATTAATGCACAAACAAATCTATTATTGGCGATCACTTGAATTATAATCAAATTAATTCTAACAAGATTATTAATTATCTTATTAACAAAACCACACTTTTTACAGAATCTAAATATACCATCATACTTAAAACGTACCCATGTAGCTCGATTGTCATAGGTAGGAAAATAAAATCCCGCAATTAATGGAAGGGACAAGTCCACCAAAATCTTAACACGCGGACGAGGAATAGGAAAATCACCTTGTAATTCTTCCTCCATAGTAACATCACCAACATGAGTTAATACCGAAGCCGCCATCCTCGGAGTAGAGTATCGAATAGGTAGGCCAACCACCGTGACCCACATGTCAGCCAAATTTAGGTTGAGATTTTCAGGTACAGCATGTCCTCGAAGTCGCTGAATAACCATAATACTACCTTTAAGATGAATCCAACCTCGAGCATCAAGATCAGCAGCGTCTTGTTCATTACCACAAAAGAAGATAAAATCCTCACCATATGGGAACACCACCACTGATTGCCTAAGATGCCAGTAACGAGACACCAAACGTTGAACCAATTCAACAGAAAATTCCCTAGTATCCCAAAACCTCCCAATAATACAATAGTCCCAACAAAGATGACTAGTTTCATAAATCGGGGGGGGGGGGGGGGATAAGGAAAAGCTCCAATTCGATGAGGGTAAACAAAGGTATTGGGAAATACTCGGTCACTCATCTTAACAACTTACAGAGAAACTTAGGCAACTAAGGCAAAGAACTAATACTAGAGGAAAGATACTGACGAAAGGAAAACTTAGAAACTTATAAACTTCACAAGTAAATTAGAGAGGATTTTCTCTCACTAGATTTCTTTCTCTCACTAGAGATTGTTTTTTTAATTTCGAATTCAACTTACAATAGTACAAGTTATACATTGTGAAGTTTTGAGCATTATTTCTTCATTGCTAATCTTTCCTTAATCTGCATCCTAGCTTATACTAGATTGATTGTTGTTCTGCCTTCTCTAACAATGGCCTCAGAACAGGATTGTGATCAACAGGCTGAGATCAAGGCTTTTGAAGACTCGAAAGCTGGAGTCACGGGCCTCGTTGATGCTGGGATAACTAAGATCCCTAATATGTTCATACATGAACATCACAGCCTCAATAACATTAACACCACCAATTATGGTAAGTCATTTTTATTTGCATCCAAAAAGCCTATGATGAAATGAATGCAAATTAAATTTAAAATTAAACAATATACATCCATCCAAATTTTTACATTAATTAACCTTTTAATTTTTTTTGGCACTGAATGATTTATGATTATTAGGAGTGCACATTTAGAACAAAAATTCTCTTATGCAAGACTTGATTATTAAAAACCTTACCTCAGATCGTAGAGGTATGAGGGTAGAATCTTATCACCCAACAATATTTTAGAGGTGGGTCGGGGATCCCAGACTTTCAAGTACATACCTAACCTTCCACTACTAGAAAACAGTCAAATACCGACGGAAAATTTCCATCGAAAACACCCTATTTTTCGTCGGAAAACACGTTTCCGACGAAAATTCCGTCGGAACTAGTTGTCGGAATATCATTTGTAGGAAAATAGCCTTTTCCGACGGAATTTCTGACGAAATTCAGTCCGCCAGAAAATATTTTCAAGCCCGAGAAAGTCCGTCGCAATTGTCCGACGGACTGTATTCTTTCGGTATGTTGCGACGGAAAGTCCGTCGGAAAATTATTTAAAAAAACAAAAAAAAAAGCCTCCCCACCCCACCACCAACCCACATCAACAGCAACCACCCCGCACCACTACACACCGAAACCAACCACAACCACACACTAGCCCCTATCCCACCTTCAAACACCACCACCGACACCAGCCCCTATCCCACCTTCTAACACCGCCATCGACACCCACACCAAGCCCTATACCACCTTCGAACACCGCCACCGCCACCCACACCAACCCTATTTCCACCTTCGAACACCGCCACCGACACCCACACGGCCACACCAACCCTTTCCCACCTTCAAACACCACCACCGACACCACCACACCAAAAATAAACCCCCAAAACACAAAACTTAGGAAAAAAAATCGAAAATAACCCAAATAATCGAAAACCAAGGCAAAAATGCGAAAATTGAGACAATAAAATCGAAAAACGCCACACAAATAAATCAAAACCAATAGATCTACTTATTTAACAAGAATTTCATAAAGAAAATTCACAAAAACAATAATTAAACCACAAAAATTAAAGGAAATATATAATTATACAATTATTTAATTAAATTTATAAATTAACATTACAATTACATAGAAAATTAACTAGATCTATGCGCATGTGGTAGTCCTTCTTTTGGTCGCCGTTGTTGTTGTGGTCGGTTGGTTGCCGGTGTTGTTGTAGTCGTCGTTGTATGTTGTGACGGTGGTTATGGTGTTGTTGTTGTTGATGGTGGTAGGGGGTGAAAGAGGAGTTGCGAATAATCCGAATATCCGATCTTGGTGTTGTTGTTGTTGATGGTGGTACGGGTTGAAAGAGGAAAGGAGGGATGACGAGAGAGAAAGAGAGGAAAGAGAAGACGAGAAAAGGGCTGAAGGACGGAGGGGATGAGGAGAGAGAAAGAGAAGAAAGGAAAGGAGGAAGGTTGAGGAGAGAGAAAGAAGAGGAAACAGAAGTAAGGGGAAAAAAAGGGGCGGAAAGGAGTAAGGTGTTTAGGGTTAGAATTAAATATATATTTTGCATTTCCTTTTTTTTAAAATTACATGTTCCAACGGATTTATCCGTCGGAAATGACCTTCTCCGACGGAATATTCCGTCGGAATGTCCACTTTTTTCGACGGATTTATTTTCCGTCGGAAAATTCCGACGGAATTTTTGAATTCGTCGGAATTATCCGACGGAAATATCGATTTTTCCGACGGAATATCGGGTCTGTCGGAACTAGTCCGTCGTTATTTGACCTGATTCTTATAGTTTTCATATTTCAGACCAAAACAATCATGAGGGTTAACTTTAATCAGGATTTACTTCTAATGTTTTTTTCATAATATTGAGGATGAAATTACTCATATGAACCCTGCAGGCACATATAAGTCTTTTGATGATGACAACAAGAACAAGATCCCCTTGATCGATTTCAAGGGGATCGAGGACAAAGATGGAGGTCGACGTGAGGAGGTAATGGAGCAAGTTCAAATAGTGGCTTGTCCCGAGCCAGAATTGACCATTGGCTCGGCTACTCATGCCGATAGTGGCTTCATAACTATACTCCTCGCTAACCACATCCCTGGCTTACAAGTTCTCTATCAAGGTCATCAATGGCTCGACGTCATCCCTATTCCTGGCTCACTTGTTGTTAACATGGGAAATTTGATGCAGGTGATTTGTTTTCTAATTCATTTTCATTCAATTTTCCAAGTTTTTGAAGTGTTGCACATGATTGAATTTTTTTTTTGAAATTTTGTAAAGAATTTCCTGTAAAAAAATTGGTACTGTGTTGTTAAAGGATTAACTCTACCAAAAAGTTAAGCTGAAGTATGGAAGAGATTTGAATACACGACTATCTTGTCAAGTTGGCTTTTAATACTATATTAAATGACAAACTCAACCAAAAAATTTAAATTCCGAGATCAATTTTATATATTCTATTAGGCGCGTCACTCACTTAGAAGTACTTACAATATGTACATTTGCCGATGCTTTAAGTAAACAGAAGAAGGATATACAATTAAATTTCCTAGTCCTTTGAGTTTGATCACTTTTAGAGGTGTTAGTTGGTTTTTTTTTTTTTTTTTTTTTTTTTTTTTAAGAGATAATAGAGGTGTTAGTTGAAAGCGGCTAACAGTGAGATATTTAGATGTTTGTACCTATGCACAAAAATATATGAAGTATACAGATGTTTCATATTGATATTAAAAATATAGAATTTGTGCAATTCAAATATTTATTTGGGTAAATAGATTATATTAAGTATCAATATTAGAATATTATGATTATCTCATTAAATTTGGGAAGATGATAAGGCTATAAAAAGTATTAGGGTTGCATAAATAGCATTGTCATTTGTCATAAATCATAATAGAACAAGTTTCACAATGTCTTTCTCTTAAAACTTAACAAAAGCTAACAATTTATGCATGTAACTTGCAGTTGATTACCAACAACAAATTTGTGAGTGCATTGCACAGGGTAATAGCAAGCAAAGAAGGGCCAAGGATTTCAATGGCATGCATTTTTAGAACTCACTATTATCCACCTAATTCCGCACAACTTTATAAACCAATTGAGGAGCTTTTATCATCAGAAAATCCTCCCATTTACCGTGCTGTTACTGTTAAGGAAATCATCTCAAACAAACATTCAACAAATCCTGGGAGCATTGGCAATGCTATTGAGAAATTTAAGCTATGATATTGGTCGTCATCACTTACATTACTCAATCGTACGTATTTGAATCGAAGATGATGTTCTTAACTTGAATCAAAGGGAGAGGGGAAAACAATATAACCCCTTGTGTACGTTGTGCTCACTTAGTTACGTTAATAAACTAATCATGCGAGATCTTATTTTAAAATCAAAAAATTATATTGTGAAGGTAATATAAACCGTTTATTTCTGATAATTTAGTATTTTGCCTTTTATATTTGCCAAACGTATGAACACGTAGTAAGCCTAGCCTAGGAATTATAAACTATATTTATGATTTATACTGTATGATAGAATACATAGATTAGTCATGGATTTCAATCATCAGCTTAACTTTAAAATTGAGATAATTATTTGACGTAATAACAATAACATGACAAAAAAGTCACATATTCAAAAGAGTGATTATCAAAAAGGTATATTATGATGATAAAAAAAATTTGGCATCAATTCTGATCAATTAAATTCTCATCCCATTTAGAAAAACTGAAATAATAGTATATGAGATGTGTACTCGTTTAAAACTTATAAATATCTTCTTTTACATATGTTTGTAATCAAAACCCTTAGAGGTTATTAATGGTAAAGCTAATGACTTTCAAAGTTAGTAGCAACCTTAAGAAGTAAGCCAAAGAGATGAGAGGGATTAGAGAACATAGGACAATGATCACTATCAATTTCATAAACATTTGAAGGTGGCCATCTCTTGATCATCACATCTTGTTGCTCACGTGAGTACACTTTGTCATGCAATGTCTTGATGTAAACACGTGGCACCTTATCAGAGCCCTCACCTTCAGGAAACATGGCCCCATGAATGAGAGCTTTGATTGGGCAAGGTCTCAAAAGCATTTTTGCCAATGTACAATCCTGTGGAGTATTTACACCACAATTTTAATTCTCTAATATAATAATTAATGTGTTGTTGAAAGTTGATTAAAATAAGATTAGGTTAGTTTACCTCTAAAGGACTCATTTGGTACAATATCTCACGATGAACTTCCTTTTTGAAAGTGGCACTACTTGGAGAATTGTTCGATCCCTGTCCATGGGTATAGTCAAATACATCCATGATTTTAGACAAATCGGGTGATCCCTACAACATCACAATTCACAATACAAAATTATACTTTATAAAATACTTATTAAATATTATTGAGCTAAAAAGTTATTCTGTCAATTGCCAATCATTTCTAATATATCATTTTTTTTTATTTTTTTATTTTTTGTTAAATAACATTTGGACGTTTTATTCTAATTTATCCACATAAAATTAAAATGTAACAACAACCATTTGCACAAGATTTGACCAAAAGGCCTCAAATTTATACGAGTATACTAAAATCCTAAGATGAATCCTAACCACTAATTTGCTTTAATTAGCCTTTTTTTTTAACAAAATTAATTAGCCTTTTTGCTTTCTAGTTAAATAAAACATTTAACAAAAAATATGTTTTGATAACTTATGCATCAACGTAAATGCATCAATTATGAAAATCCTACTTTTAAGAAAAAACTATTGTTAGTTACACTAATTGACTCTACACTAAAATCAATAAAAACGGGTTTCAATTGAAATTTTTTCCAAGTACCATCTTATTAAAATAATCTTACCATTTTGACATGCATAAGAAAGGAAGAAAAGAACTTACCAAATTTCTATCTTGTTCGGTTTGGAAGCCATTTTGGAGCATAACAGCCCCGACAAATACCCCGACTTGGATTTTCTCAGGAAAGTTTTGTATAGCATTTGTAACACTCAGTCCTCCTGCACTATGCCCTACCAATATTACCTAATTCAATAAAATCGAACCAATTAAATTATCAAGTCAAGATAGATAGAGTATATAAACCGATTCTAATATTACACTCCTCACGTTCTTTTTATTGTATTCTTATTTGGAATGAGTTGTAATACAAAAAGGAAAGGCGGGGGAGTATAGCTATACAAGAGTACGCAAAAAATTTGCAAACACATATGAATTTCAAGTTTGTTATTTTGTATTGTATTAACATATGTACTCCGTGGTACAAATTAAATCATTAGGTACTATTTATTATTCTTTTAGTTCTTTCTAAATTCTACTGTCAATGTCTAAATTTAATATACTGGTACTTCGTATTATACAAGCACTTCATTTTATTTATTTTTTTGACTAATTAAAGAGGTTATAAAAAAAAAAAAAAGTAAATCTAATTTTATGAGATTAAGCATTCAATATATAATTATACCTTTTGTTAAAGGACCAACTCCACCAAAAGGCTGGTGCAAATTAATTCCACTTTGAAGGAGGGGTAGATGAGAATCGAACCCGTGACCTTTGTGTCACGCTGGCTCTGATACCATGTTAAAGGATCAACTCAACCAAAAACTTAAACTGATGGTTGAGGCCCGGGAATATGTTTTATACTCTATCACCTTTCATTAATTTTAATTACAATATTTGAATTTTTACACTGTGACACTATTTACACATTTTTTAATCATCTTTTGTGATTTATACATAAAGAAAAACATAGTCATATAGATCCAGTCAAATATCTCTCAGTATCTACTTTTAAATATCAACTTTTTAATTTTAATTAAAGTATTATTAATAAATCATGAAATTACAAAGAGTGCAATTGAAGAGTGGAGGAAATATATTCCTTGTAACAATCACATTTAAACATGCATGTTAATGTAAAAATAAGTACTCATCGTACAACAATTAAATATTATACTTCGTAGTAAAAAGAAGAGCAAGTATATAAGCATATATAGCTTGCACTGCTAACCTTTTCACCTTCTGGTAGGCTTGCCAAAAGATCATCGAGGGGCTTATTATACTCTTTAAAAGTAGAGATCGTATTAGCATCAACGGGGTGAACCCCGGAGCTACTTAGGTCCGGGCAACTAACCTTTTGCCCGATACTTTCAAGTAGACATCGGATTTTGTACCAACACCAACCTCCATGGCTCGCGCCATGGACTAGGACAAAGTGCACAGAAAAGGGTAAATTAGTCATTTTATATTCTTGTGTGTGAAGTTATTGAGGATTATGAAGGTGGATGATCAAGATATTAATAGAAGTTCATCAAGTTATTAAATTTTAAGTGAAACACAATTTGCTAAATAAATCATACAAAAGTGACAATATGGACAATAATATTGGGGACCCGTACTTTGAACACAAAATTGGGAAGACTTGATGAAAATGATAAGAAAGATGAAATTCCTAGAATTATCTCCACTAATTAAAATGTCAATTAATAAACGAACGGTGATCTTAATTCGTAGTTGTTGAAATATCATTCTAGATTTATATCGATTGAAAATTTTGATTATCTTTCCACATCTTTGGAGAAATTTCTTTGGTTGTATTATTTGTTTGTAAGTGTCCTTAATGTTTTACAACTTTACGTATGTTGGGTGTTGTCTTTTAATCATAAACTGTGGATATACACGATTATTTAAAACAACGAATAATCCATATATTTGTCCAATTTGAAATGTATGTAAAATTCTCTGTTACGTATCGAGATAAAACAATAACAATCTATATAAATTCTGATGTTGATAAAGGAAAAATATAAATGTAGCCAATAAGCCAATATTGAGTTAGATGCCAATATTGAGTTAGATGTAGAATTAATCAATTACTTGGCTTATTAGCAAAAACAAAAAAAAGGGTACAACAATTAGCTTTAACTTTTAGTTGATTTAAATGATCATTTAAAATGATATTAAAGTTAGTGTAACACGTATTACAGTCATTTTAAATGAATATATTAGTATATACATCAAGGGGATTAGTTTTTTATATAGGAAACAAATCGAGAAAAGAAGGTTTTTAAAGTGGTCGTATTAGCCATTATATAATTCTCACAGTCGAAACTGGACCAGAATCAAGGTAAGAGGTGGTGAAATATGAGAGATATACTAAATGCAGGTATAATTTTACCTAAATGAAGGACAATTTAATTTTAGTCAAAATTTATTTTTTCCAAGATTACCCTTGTTTTAAACCTATACCTAATAACTACTTGTAGACATATATCTTAGTCTTCAAGCTTCAACCGTTCAATCATTCATCCTCATCAGACAAATCTCAAATACTTTACATGAACCTAGATTGACAAATACTTCGCTTAAATCCGGTTATTTCTCAAATTTTCCATGCCAAAGTCATATTATCACTAAAACTTTTCGATATCCAAATTCAACCCTATTCGTAAAATATTTCCAAGGCCTTCATCTTATGTTCGGCTATGATTTCCAGGACTCTTCGCAGCCTACGTACCGGAATAAAATTCTAGGACCCTTCACTACCTATCAAAGTTAATTTTCAGAGCCCTAGACCACCTATCGGCGTTAAATGCCGAGGCCTTTACGGCCTATCACTGTTATATTATGAAACTATTTAGAGATGCAGTGGGTCAGGGCTCCCATTACTTCTTTCTCCCAGACTTTCAAGTACATACTTGATCCTCATATTTCAAACCAAAAACCGTAAATTAGGATTTTTCTTATACTTTATAAAGTATTCCTCTTCAAGTACTAGATGAAATGCTAGAGGGCAATAGGGGCATACGTGAGTTTCATGAACAAGATGTTGAGACCAATAAAGAGTATTATTCGAGGAATTACAACACCAATCATTTTTTGTACAATAGTAATTTCAACTTACTCCAAGTCAGGGTGGCTGCTTGGAAAGATACCTGATAAGTGTCATTTATGTCGCTATTTTTAGGAGTATTGTAGTTAGTTTTTCATAGTTTTTCTATCTTTTTACTTGGTTTTAATAGCGTTTTACTACATTTGTCATGTTTGTGTGTGAAATGTCGTTATTGCTCAATTTTGGCTTTTCTTGCATATTTTGGTGGCTTATGACATTAGATTAAACTTTATTGGTTTACTCTTATGTTTAGGAACACTTGGATAAGTTCATTGCTCAAGATTGAAGAAATATAAAACATAAAAGAACAAGTAATGAAGAAATGTGCACTTGATTTGCAAAGATCATACTTCAAACGCCTATATCTTTTGATCTACAAAACATTTTGGGGCGTTTCTAATTGAAGATGAAAGCTTATCTCGAGAGCTTTCCAACGATAGGTCATATGGTCAATTCCGATGTAAAACGTGGGAGATATGCTCATTTGAAGCTGAGCAGTTTGCCTAGTCCGAGAGGAGCGGGCGCTCCACCACCAGGAGCGGGCGCTCCAAAATTTGCACGCCCGCTCCTCACAGGAAATCCAAAATAAAAAAAACAGATTGTTTCCTCCAGATTTGGAGCGGGCGCTCCAACCTTCTGCACGCCCGCTCCTGGACCTGGAGCGAGCGCTCCACCTCCTGCACGCCCGCTCCTCTACGCGCTGCTCGACTTTTTGCGGAGCTTCCTAGGCAATTTAGTAAGGGTTATAAATAGATTTTTTTGCTCATTTTAGAGGGGGGAATTCATATTTTCAGTAGTTTTAGGTTAGTTTTAGGTTTTTAGAGAGAGAAACTCTCAAATTTTGGAGAGAGAAAGTGAGAGAAACAATGGTTTTCATGGATTTTAGATAATCAAAGGAGGGGAATTCATATTTTCAGTAGTTTTAGGTTAGTTTTAGGTTTTTAGAGAGAGAAACTCTCAAATTTTGGAGAGAGAAAGTGAGAGAAACAATGGTTTTCATGGATTTTGGATAATCAAAGGAGGAATTTGGATGATTTGAAGATCTCCATTTTATATCAATGATCATTTCTTACTCTCTTCTCTCTTTATGCTTTATTAATTGCTTTGTTATTCATGTTTGAGTAGATTTCCTTCTATTAGGTGTTGAGTGAAGCTTTGTTATTGGTTAATTGAGTTATTTGAGATAAATTTGATGATAATTGTGTGATTAAATTGATTGAATTGATGATGGCATGTTGTTTGTTTTAGATTGGATTGATCTCCCAAGATAGAAAACTTAATTGCATGTTAGTTCTAGTTTGACAAGGGATTGTGAATTAGAATTTATATATTTGATTGCATTTTGGGTAAATTTCTTCTATGCACCTAGTCAATGAGGTATCTAGGCTAGGAATTTGAGAGATTGCTCTTGATGGTAATTAATTCCCATTTTAATTCTTTCTTTGCATGATTGATTATCAAATCGATTCCCATTAACTTGTTAATTGTTCAAAGTGGATCTTTTCCCCTAGTAGACTTTGTAATATCTTGATCTTTATATGTGTGTTAGTGTAGTTGTAGTGTCCACTATCCATAAACCGACTTCGGCGTAGCTTAAGCATTAGATCGAGAACAATCCAACATTACCGTTCCTTGTGGTTCGACTCCGAACTTACCACTAGACTTGTTTAGGGGTTAGTTTAGGATTATAATAAATTTTGTTTGGCCGTGAGGAGGTTAGTCAACGACCTAATTTCCCCGCGCTCAATACCATGACTTTTTTTGTGGATCTTCTCCTCCCAATCCACAAGAATTACCCCTAGTATGTAGGTACAATATATAATAATACTTTATTTGTTACTAATATAAATAGTTGATTAAAGTCAGTTCAGCCCGAATTTGGGTGGGTTTTAGGCAAATTTTCCGGCCCAATCCAATTTTAAAAATTTTTTGAACAGGCTTGGGAATGTGTTTATATGCAACTTTAGTTGTTTTTTTTTAGCCTGACCTAAAAATGGCTTGAAAATCCCATATGGTCCGACCAATTTGGGTGGTTTTGGGCACGTGGTTTTAGAACCGAAGCTTAGCCCAACCTGTTATGAAAAATGGGCTATTTTTTGGCTCGGCCCGGCCCATCCAATAATCAACTCTACTAATATACCTGTACATATATTGATTACAAATCACAAATGCAGGGATATATTGATCCAATACAATAATGAGGTGATGAAATCAGGTGAGACAATCTATGAGCTACTATCTCAAGCACTTGGACTGTAATCAACTCATCTCAAGAACATAGGTTGCAACTACTACCATGCTTGGCCTGAGCCAGAATTGACCATTGGTTCGGCTACTGTTAGAGATATACCATATTGGAAAATATATGTGTATAAATTCATGCCGATAGTGGCTTCATAACTATACTCCTCGCTAACCACATCCCTAGATCAGCCCCGTATCTGGGGCAGGGCGGCCGCCCGGGGCCCCAGAATGTGAAACCCAAATTTGTTAAAAAAACAGATTTTGGTTTAATTTTAAAAAAAAAAAAAAAATTAAAGCCCATAATCAATGTTTAATATTCCTTCATGTAACTTCCTGTATTCAAAACAATTATTATTATTATTATTATTATTATTATTATTATTATTATTATTTATAAGCTAGTTTTTGCCGAGAATTTTGGAGAATTTAATTTTGCAAAATAATTTTATCTTTTTTTTTGAAGCAAAATAATTTTATCTTGATTGGAGTACTACTTATGAAGTTATGGTGGATGCTGATTGAGTTGCAAAATTAAATAAATATTTTGTTTAAAAAAAATTTATTTGTAAGATTCAGAAATTAATTAAGTTACACTAAATTATTTAAGTTGTAACTTAAATGCCTTTCAAAAAAAAAAAGTTGTAACTTAAAAATATGCATTTTATATATTTTTTGGTTTATTTTTTCATACCCTTAAAATGTTTGTGCGTACCGTTACATTTAAAATTAAGGCCCCAAATCACAAGTTCGCCCATAGGCCACCAAAATCTCAGAAACGGGCCTGCCCTGGCTTACAAGTTCTCTATCAAGGTCATCAATGGCTCGACGTCATCCCTATTCCTGTCTCACTTGTCGTTAATATGGGAAATTTTATGCAGGTGATGAGTTTTCTAGTTCCTTTTCACTCAATTTACAAATCTTAATCATTTTGTTCCTTATAATTCGTTACATTTTCTTATTCTAGTATTACGTGATTAGATTATGTTAATTATCTAGAATATTATCTTGTTGTTAAAGAGTTCGATAATATGTATGTTGCTATTGTATAAATAACGTAATATTGACAAAATATAAATAATATGGACAAAATTTACAATGTCTTTCTCTTAAATTTAACAAAAGTGAACTGTTTAATCATGTAATTTGCAATTGATTACCAACAAAAAATTTGTGAGTGCATTGCACACTAGCAAGCAAAGAAGGTGTATGGGATGGTATGCAAGATGGGCCGAGATCTTTTAATTAATGCAGGTAATTAAGATCTCTCTCTCTCTCTCTCTCTCTAATTTCTCTTTCTTCATCACAAACTGACTTTGTCATCGGAGTGCTTTTCCCTGGAACATCCCAAGGTTAGCTAATCCTTTTTCTTTGTGTAGGTTCTCGTCTGGCCGATAGGAGCTTTACGGGTTCTATACTCGTGCTTTGGACTTTCGGACCGGGTTGTCGGATCCTTGCAAGAACAATTGGCGCTAGAAGGAGGGGAGCAGTGTAATTGCTTCTATCGCCTAAGAACCTCACACCCTACAACACCTAAAAATAAATGCCTGAAAACCAGAGTACGCCGATAGCCGAGAAGGTTGTTAATCGGACAATTAGAGTGGGAACGGGGGTACCAAATCCGGAGATTGAAATCGAAGATGAAACCCATACGTTAGAAGGTAACCATTTCCATGTGCCGTTAACCCCAGAAGGTCAAGGAGAAGGGGAACAGGATCCAATGGCTGAGTTCACGCCAGAAGAGCTCGAAACAGCAACGAGGGTAATGACTGCCATGAGTAGAAAAAGGAAGGAGGCTAAGGCAACCGAAGATGGGGAAGGGGTGTCGATTACTGGTCATGGCAATCAATCAAACCGGGCTGGAAGTTCACAGAGGCGTCGACATGAAAGGTCACCGATAAGGTCACAGCCGACTCAACGGGAGTCAGAAGTTCAGTCTACAGGTCCCATTGTAAGCATCCAAAACCAGCAGTTAGGGGCAGTGCGAACGATAGTCCAGTTGAGGGCATCGCCTTTTACACAAGGGATCTTGGATCAACCTATGGAAAAGATAAAGATGTCAACGTGCCGATATGATGGAAGAGGGGATCCAGGCCGGTATATAACCTCTTATGAAGGGCACATGATCTTGTATACAAATTCAGACGTCGTATGGTGCAAAGTCTTTCCGACTACTCTGACTGGGGCAACGGCAGATTGGTTTAACAACCTGGGAAACGGAACTATAGACAGCTTTAAAAAATTGACAGAGATGTTTGTTGGGCAATACATCAGCAACAGTGTGAGACAAAGGACTTCAGGGGAATTAATGGCAGTAGAACAACGCCCGGATGAATCTTTGAGAGACTATATCAGGAGGTTTAATAACGAGGCAAACACAACCCCAAAGTTGCAGCAAGAAATAGCCGTAATGGCTCTCATGAAAGAGAAGCAGTAAGGGTACATCAGTTGGAAGGTATCAGGCTGAGGGAGCAGCCTCCGGTAGCGTGAGATCAAGAGTTCCTGCCCCGGGAAGGGGTGGAAGTCGACAGGAGGCAAGGGCAGCAAAGCCACCAATGCGATACAGTTCATATACCCCCCTTAATACACCAAGGGCGGCAATCTATGCGGTAAATCAGAATAGGGAAGGGTGGATGAGGCCGATCCCAATGAAGGCTAAACCCAGAGATGCCAAAAAATATTGCATGTTTCATAGAGATGTGGGTCACTATACAGAGGAATGTACGCAGCTGAAGGATAACATAGAAGAGTTGATAAGAAAGGGTCATTTATCTCAGTACCGGCTAAATGCGAGTGGAAGCCAGCCGCCACCCCGGCAACTTGAAAGGCAGCAACTTGAGGCAAGGCCAGAAACGCCGCAAGGTAATGTGATCCGACAGGGAGGTGGAGGAATGTCGCCGTTATCAACGGGAAGAGGAGTTGATGTGATAATCGGAGGGCCAGTGCATGGAGGGACGATTAGTGGAGCAAAGAAGCACTTATCAGAACATCGCCATATAATCAATGCCCTGGATACCGATAGCCGCCCCAGGCCAACTTCGATCCCAGATGTTGTGTTCACTAAAGAGGATACCAGGGGAATAGTCTTTCCGCATGATGACTCGCTGGTACTGATTACAAAGATTAATGGAGCTGACATAAAAAGAGTTCTGGTAGATGGAGGAAGTTCAGCCAATGTCCTTTTTATGAAGGCCTTTAATGAGATGATGATAGGGAGGCAATACCTGACGCCGGTATCTTACCCAGTTATTGGATTTAATGGATCTTCAATACGACCAGAGGGGAGCATAGTCCTGCCGATACGACTGGGTGATGGGCCTACAACGAGAGATGTGATGGCAGAGTTTTTGGTAGTCAATGTTCCATCGGCTTATAATGCGATCATTGGAAGGCCGATAATTCACGATATCTAAGCTGTTGTATCGACATACCATTTGACAATAGCTTATGTGTCAAATTTGGGAGCCGTGGAAAAGGTTCATGGGGGGCAAGTTATGGCGAAGTCTTGTTACTTAACGGCTTTGAAGAATCCGGTTGGAGATGGATCAGTACCAAGTAATCCTAAAAAGGAGTTGAAGCCCACAGTACGTGACTTGTCCATGGGTAACTTTGATACAAGGCCGGAAACAGCTCCGAGACCGTTACCAGGAGGGGAAACGGTGCAGGTTGAGTTGCAGCCGGGAGACTCCAGCAGAACGGTTAGGGTTGGAGCCGATATGGATGTTGACATGAGGTGTAATTTGATAAGCCTGTTGCGCGAAAATGCAGATGTCTTTGCTTTCTCAGCGAGTGAAATGCTAGGAATACACCCAGGGGTGATGGAACATAAATTGAATGTCAACAGGGGGTTCAGGCCGGTAAGACAAAAAAAGCGCAACTTCTCTACTGAGAAGATAGAAGCTATACAGGCTGAAGTTAATAAGCTCTTAGCGGCTGGTTTTATTGAGCCGTGCACATATCCGGAGTGGTTGGCAAATGTTGTCATGGTAAGAAAGCCGACGGGAAAATGGCGAATGTGTGTCGACTTTACCGATTTGAATAGGGCATGTCCTAAGGATTGTTATCCATTGCCCCGGATAGATAGACTGGTGGATTCCACTTCTGGTCATGAGATGCTCAGCTTTTTAGATGCGTTTTCGGGGTATCATCAGGTCAGCCTTTATAAAGCCGACAGACCGAAGACGATCTTTATAACGGATACTGGGGTATTTTGCTATAAAGCCATGTCGTTCGGGTTAAAGAATGCTGGGGCAACATATCAGAAGTTAGTTGACAAGGTTTTTGAGAGACAAAAGGGCCGGAATGTGGAGGTGTATGTAGATGACACAATTGTTAAAAGTAAGAAAAAGCAGGATCACATAGCAGACTTGAGGGAGACAGTTGAAACTTTACGAAAATACCAGATGAAATTGAATCCCGAGAAGTGTATATTCGGAGTTTGATCAGGGAAGTTTTTGGGCTTCATGGTCAGCGAACGGGGAATAGACGCAAATCCTGATAAAGTGAATGCGGTTCTTGAGATAAAGCAGCCAAAGACGATCCGATATATACAAAGATTGACTGGCCGAATGGCAGGGTTGACTCGTTTTATCAGCAAATCAGCTGATAAGGCACTTCCCTTTATTGTGGTTCTACGGAAGAACAAAGTGTTTGAATGGGGTAAAGAACAGCGGGACGCGCTAGAGGTGGTATGAAATCACTTGAAATCTCTCCCAACGGTTGCAAGGCCGGAAAGGGGGGAACAGTTACAATTATACATCTCAGCGTCTGCAAAGATGATAGCTGCAGTGCTGGTAGTGGAGAGGAAGAAGCAAAAAATGCCGATATACTTTGTTAGTCATGTACTGAATGCGGCAGAGCGCAGTTACCAATAATTGAGAAAATGGCGTTGGCAATGGTAGTTGCGGCAAGGAAGTTAAGGCCCTACTTTGATGCACATCCGATAGATGTTCTAATGAATTATCCATTGGAGAAATCATTGCACAAGATGGATACATCAGGAAGGTTGCTGAAATGGGTTGTGGAATTATCGGAATATGAGATACATTATAAGCCCAGGGTATCAATAAAGGCACAGGCCTTGTCAGACTTCATAGTAGAGGCTTCATATATGGATGAAGAAGAAGATATAGGCACTTGGCAGGTTTCAATAGTTTGTAATTTAGTGACCAAAATTTAATAAAGTTTTTGGTGTTTTCTCTTCTTTTTATATACAAAGCAATCAAATACATATTTATCTTATGACATGTTTACTGTTGCCAACATATAATGTCACAGGTATCTGTGGATGGATCTGCGACATCAATGGGATCAGGGGCTGGCATAACCATAACGTCACCAGATGAGCAAGTATTTGAATATGCAATAAAATTCAAATTCAGAGCAACGAATAATGAAGCCGAATACGAAGCAGCGGTGGCAGGAATCCAGTTATCTCTTGCGGCTGAGGCAAAGCGTCTAATACTTATAACTGATTCCCAACTCGTGTCAAGTCAATGCAATGGAGATTATGAGACACGGGATCCAGCAATGATTAAATACCTAGAAAAGGTAAAGCAGTTAACAGCACAGCTGCAATATTTTGAGATAAAGCTGGTGCCGAGAGCTCAAAATGCGCAAGCAGATGCTTTGGCGAGGTTGGCAAGTTCGATCTTTAATAACTTAGAAAGAACTGTGATGGTTGAAATTCTGGATGAGAAGAGCATAAATGAAGCACCAGAACAAATACTTTGTGTTGATAGGGCCGCCCAATGGTATGATGACATACTAGCATATCTCATCCATGGGGTGTTACCGGCAGATAAAGGGGAATCACGAAAGTTGCAGAAGGATAGTGCGTGGTTCTTTATGCATCAAGGGCAGTTGTATAAAAGAAGCTTTTCATTGCCACTGATGAGGTGCATAGGTGATCTTGAGTCAAAAAGGTTGGTCGAAGAAATACACGAAGGTACATGTGGTAATCACCTCGGGCCGAGAGTTCTATCAAGAGAAGCAATGAGAAGAGGCTACTACTGGCCGACCATGAATGAAGACGCAGTTCGATATGTGAAGGCATGTGAGAAATGCCAAAAGTTTGCGCCAGTTATCAACCTCCCCCCAAATGATTTAACACCAATATTGAATCCAATTCCTTTCGCGCTATGGGGAATGGATATAGTAGGGTCATTTCCATCAGCAACAGGCAGCAGAAAATTTTTATTAGTAGCTGTTGATTATTTCACAAAATGGATTGAAGTTGAGCCGGTAGCAAAGATAACAGCAGCAGAGGTAAAAAAGTACATTTGGAAAAACATTTTCACAAGGTTTGGATTGCCGATGGCTATGGTCTTCGACCATGGATCTCAATTTGATTGTAAGCTGGTAAAAGAACTCTTGTCAATGTACAAAGTTAAATTTGCGTATGCGGCAGTGTGTCATCCGCAATCGAATGGACAGGCAAAAGCAGCTAACAAGCAAATAGTAACGGCAATTAAAAAGAAGATAGAAGATGCAAAGGGGTTATGGGCTGACTTGGTCCCAGAAATATTATGGGCTGACAGAACAACGGCCAAGGAAGCAACAGGTGAATCACCTTTTACATTGGTTTTTGGGACAGAAGCAGTAGTGCCGGCAGAGGTAGGATTGCCGATATTTAGAATTCAGCACTATTGTGAAGAGCAGAACGATCTTTTACTACGGCAACAACTGGATTTCCTACCAGAAGTACGTGAAAAAGCAGCGATAAGATCGGCAGCCTATAAGAACGGAATGGCAAAGGCTTATAACAAGCGTGTCAATCACAGACCTCTTGCTATAGGAAATCTTGTAGACGAAGAACAGCTGCAACCGGGAAAGGAAATGAAGACGGAAAGTTAACAGAAAATTGGGAAGGACCTTATCGTATTAGAGATATGGTAATGCAGGGTTCATATTAATTAGAAGCAATGGATGGAAAGCCGTTAAAAAATGTTTGGAACACAACAGTACTAAAGAAATATTTTGAATAGTATGTTTCAAGGAAAAATTTTGAATAGTACTAAAGTAATGGATGGAAATATAAGCAATGTTAAGTGTTCAGAAACAATAAATACAAGCAGTTTCAAGGAAAAAATTTCATGATATAGGCATCCTCTACTTAACAGTAATATCGTTATGTAGGATGGACAGCTAAAAACCACTTCCGTGAAGTCAATGAGCTTATAACCTGATTAGTTATAAGCATTGACTCGCGAGGTTGTTGGTTCAATGTATAATACCGGTTAAATCGGTTCAAGTATATGCTGAATTGAAGCATGACTTTGAATACGATCGCCGAGAGGATACTTCACTGGCTACAACTATAGCGAAGTAAGTGATCAGGGCTATGCAATGAACCAGCAACAAGTATATATAGTTATTTCTTAACCATATACACTGTGGGGGTAAAATTAATATGGCATCTACGTATAAATAGCATCTGTGTATAAGTTTGTGTTTGAATTATTTTTAAATACATAATTTTTTCTTCAGCTATGGCGAAATTGCCGATAACTAATAAAGTCAATAGTAAAATCTGGCAGTCATAAGGCAGTGGAGCATATATACAAAAAAAAAAACAAAAAAAAAAAAATGATAGCTGATAAAGTTATTTAAAGACGATAAGGCAAATGTAAAAGTGCATGACATATTAAAAAGTTTCAAAATACATGTGACACGTTCAGAGTAATATGAAATGATCAAAGTAGTTCGACGCAATAGTCGACAGGCATCACCACAAAAAAGGGCATATGCCGATATAGCAGCATTACAAATACATAGTCCAACAAAAACAAGTAAATATAGGATTTAAGTCAAAGCTGATAAGGCCCAAAAACGCAAGACCCGCAAGAAGATGCCGGTGATGACTGCCCGCCCCATTAAGCTTGTGTACCATCGGAAGCTGGAGAGTCCAAGATGTTGGGATCTGAAATATCCTCATCTTCTGCTGGAGCAAGATTAATAAGATCCTCGTTTGCAAACTCTTGCTCCTCAAAGCCGGATGGGATCTTGAAAACTTCCTCGTTAAAGTCCTTTTCAATGGCAGTCCAATCCTCTTTCTTCCAGCCGACAGTATGGGCGATACATCTTTGGGCAGCAGTCTGTCCTCCGTCAAAGCGGTTCTGAAGCCGTGTACAAAACTCTCGAGATGTCAAGAAGCGTCTAACTTCCCTTTGACGGACTCCAGGCTTATATGCTTCCAATCTTTTTACTTTTTCTTGAAGATCATGAATGGAGCCCCTGGCAGCCTCAAGATCCTTCTCAAGAGTAGAAACGCGGCTGATAACTTTGTTTTTCACAGTAATTTGAGTCTTTAATTGTTGCACTTCTAGCTCGAGATCTTTAGCCTTAGAAGCTGTTTCCCTGAGAGATGACATCTCAAGATCATCTCTTTCTTTTGCTTCCTTCAAGTTTTGCAGAGCCTTATCAGCGTTGTCTAAGGCTGTTTGAAGTGCGTTTTGGCTGGCAGAAGCTTGATGGTGTTGTTCTTGGTAATACCGGTACATTTCAACAAGCTCAGTGCCAGACATAACGACCTATGAAGTAATAAAAAACAAAAAGTTAGTAAAAAGATATATACATAACGATAGAAAAATATATATCAAGGCGTAATAAAAGTTATAAATTAAAGGACGAGAAGGGCGAGAACCTTCATCATGTTGTGCATATGCATAGCAGCTAAAGGGCTGATGACACCAGCAGGCCTATCCATTGGGAGGGTCAAATTGCTTAAAAGACGATATCCCAGAGTTCAACCTAGCATAGGGTCATCGGTGATCATTTACTCGTTCCGACATGCATCTATGGCAGGTTGCCATTTATCCCCAGAATGGCCGGGAGGGACAGAAAATCCATTAAGAACAACCTCAGGTATCCTCTCGTTGGGACGCTCGATCCATTGATTAGATTGATAGATAAGACCAAGAGCACTTGTGTCGGAACCGCCAGCGGCAGTGGTAACGGTTTGAGCAGCTGTTTGGTCCGGTATGTTAGGTTGAGGTAGGGTAGGAGATTCAACTTTGGTAAGATCCTCAACGTCAATTATGTCAATCACCTTTTTGACGATTGCTTCAGAACTCTGAACAACCGTTTTCACCTGAACCCTGGGAGAAGGAGGTTTATCCTTATTCTCGGCCTGATTCTTTTTGCTGCGATCTTCAGGTTGCCGAGTAATGCCTGATCTGGGAAAAGTACCCCGTCGATTGGCCAGAGAGGTTAGTTTCCTTTTCTTGGCGTTTTCGTCGGCCATGCTCTCGGCTTTTCTTTTGGCGCTGACGGTCGGAATGCCGCTGCAATGGGTAGTGAGAGTATCGTATAAAGGCTTTGTAGCCTTAGGACAGCGTCTGATAACTCTCTTTCCGTCAGAAGAAAGCCCTAGCAATTTATTATCTAACTTGTCGACACCTGCAAAGAATATTTACATAACGTCATAATCATATTATGAATAGACATATACAAAAAAAATATACAAAAAAAAAAACTTGACAAACAGACAACACAATGGAAAAAGCTAATTACTGATAAGTAAGTTAATACCATATTGGTTAGTCCAGCAAAGACCAACGTGAGATAAAGGGGCGTTGCCGAGAATGTATTCTGCATTCGGCACCCACACCTTAGGAGTGATACGAACCCGACCGTCGCCATTATCAGATTCGATAATGTCAAAATGGTTGACGGCCCTACGCTCATGTTAGCCGAGATTTCTCTCAGGAATAGATTCAGACCTTGGATGGGGCCAAAAGAATGTCCTTCTGAGTAGGAAATCATCAGGAACTGACATAAAAAAGAACTTGTCTTGCCACCCTTTGCAGCTTGATAATTTAGGGTGAACGGTATATTTGTGAGGTTGGGTATATAAAGACCACCACCCATCCGACTGGCCATCTCTCTTTGAAGTTAACAGCCGTCTAAATGCATTAAGGGTTAACGGATAATTTCTATGAAGCAGAACCCAAATAAGGGCAATAACGGCACGGATGGTGGGAGGGGTAAGCTGTACAAGACAAACGTCAAGGCCTTCAGAATTTTTGCCACAAAAGGATGAAGGGGGAAACGGAGACCGAAATCAAAGTGCTTAAGGTAAATGGCAACATGGTCGTCTGGGCAATCGAGCACTGAAGATCTAGAAGGTGGAAGACAAAGGTCATACCCGTCCGGAAGCTTATAAAATCGCTTGGCACGCTGGCAATAATCCTTTTCCAAAGTCGTTTGCCTAAACTTTTCGCTTATCTTAGCTTCTGCGACTTTGCCTTTAGCAGCTAATAAAACAATAGGCTGCCGGAATTCCGCCCCGTCGGTCTCAGAGTTATATCCTTCGTCAAGATTCTCTTCTTGAATAATTTCAGCCGTCATATCGATTATGTCATTCCTATTATCAGTATTAACACTGTCCTCTTGAGCATCATCATCACCCAATAATGGCCGATTCATGGACTGGAGATGGTTGATCTCTCTCAGCGTTTGGAAGGATTTCCGAATCATCAGATTCGGAAGAGCTAGCAACTTCATCTTCTTTAGCCTTTTTTCTCGACTCGGCCTCTTCAGCAGCATCACGAGCAGCAGCCTCAGGCTGATAGCTGGTACGCTTAACTCTTAGCATAGTATTTATACCTATATGCCCCACGTTTGAGCCTTGTTGGTCAAATTGAGTATTAGCAAAACTCCTCAGATGATAACGAATACTGACTGGTTCAATCTCAAGGATTTCAGTATCTTCCGGTATGTTAGGGTTAACAGGACGATTTTCTTTTTCACACTCGGCTAGCAATTTATGGCGGTAAAAGGCCTTCTTTTGTTCTTCTACGGATAACGGCTGAAAAGGGTCGTCAATGTTGTCAGAAAGTGAAGATGTGGTTTCTCCAGTTCGACCAAGGTATTTTCCTAAAGATTGTCTAATAAGTCGGCGCCTAGTAGTGTTAAGGGTAGGTTGTTCTTCTTTAATACTACTGTTGGACATCTAATTCTTGGTTTATAGACCTCAAAGTAAAAGGAAACAAAATTTAAAACATGCAATTTGGTCTCTTTACAAAAAAAAAAAAAAAAAAAAAAAAAAAAAAAAAAAAAAAAAAAAAGAAGAAAATAATTATGAAACTAACCAAGAACTCGAAATCAAAATTAGTCAATTGGGATTAAAGTTTCGTGAGTACCTTAAACTATTCGCCAACAATGGAACGCTCCAACAATTATCTGTGGTGTCGATAGAACTAGCGCAGAAGACAGATGATGGCACGCAAAGAAGGTATTCTAAATCGTAAATCCCTTTTGTCGAAAAACTTTCTCAAGAATTTATCTTGTTTATCAGGAAATGGCAAGAAAAGTAAGTAAGATGAATAGAAAAGGTTGCGAATTAATTGTTAAATAGATAGAAAAAAAACGGTTGAAGTGACAACCGTGTCAGAAATCTAACGGTTCAAAATTTTAAAAATTAAAATCGCAGATTCACAGATTAATGACACGTGTTTGTCTCAATAGCTGTTTCCCGCTTATTTTTCTAGTAGACGCTTCATATACTTAACTGACCCGGTTTGTTTTTCTAAAAGTAGACCTTGTTTGCTTACGGCGCACAAGGTCACTTGGGGGAGAAAACGGAGTTTTTTCAGCTCCCTGTTTGTTTTTATAAAAGTAGACCTTGTTTGCTTACGGCATACAAGGTCACTTGGGGGAGAAAACGGAGTTTTTTCTGCTCCCAGTTTGTTTTTCTAAAAGTAGACCTTGTTTGCTTACGGCATACAAGGTCACTTGGGGGAGAAAACGGAGTTTTTTCTGCTCCTAGTTTGTTTTTCTAAAAGTAGACCTTGTTTGCTTACGGCACACAAGGTCATTTGGGGGAGAAAACGGAGTTTTTTCATCTTCCAGTTTGTTTTTCTAAAAGTAGACCTTGTTTGCTTACGGCACACAAGGTCACTTGGGGGAGAAGACGGAGTTTTTTCTGCTCCCTGTTTGTTTTTCTAAAATTAGACCTTGTTTTCTTACGGCATACAAGGTCACTTGGGGGAGAAAACGGAGTTTTTTCTGCTCCCAGTTTGTTTTTCTAAAAGTAGACCTTGTTTGCTTACGACATACAAGGTCACTTGGGGGAGAAAACGGAGTTTTTTCTGTTCCCAATTTGTTTTTCTAAAAGTAGACCTTGTTTGCTTACGGCGCACAAGGTCACTTGGGGGAGAAAACGGAGTTTTTTCTGCTCCCTGTTTGTTTTTCTAAAAGTAGACCTTGTTTGCTTACGGCATACAAGGTCACTTAGGGGATAAAACGGAGTTTTTTCTGCTACCAGAAGGATGCACTCAAAATGTAAAATATAACGTTACCAATATACATACCAAAGAACAACACTAAATTATTACATAATACAATCCAAAATAGCATCCTGAAAAACTAAATACATGATCTTTGTAAAATGCTCGACAGAGCGCGAGAAATAAAAGCCTGAACATATCATAAACGGTTATAAAGTAAACAAAAGTTACCTATAATACAAATTATAAAAGTGTGAACGTCGACCTACAGTCGAACGTCCTCACTTGGGGGGCTAGTTGTATAGGATGATATGCAAGATGGGCCGACATCTTTTATAAATATGGATCTAAACCCAGTAAAGCTGATAAATGGGCAGATATGTTTGGTAAAGAAGACATATCGGCCTGTCGATACCTGGCACGTGGCAACAATAGTTGGACACTTGGCAGGAAAAGCTTTGCATGCTTTGTAGCCACCTGTAATGGCATTTATTATAAATAGTAGGTTAGGAGTCATTAATGAAGGTAAATAAGATCTCTTTCTCTCTCTCTCTCTCTCTCTCTCTCTCTCTCTTTCTTTCTCTTTCTCTTTCTCTCTCTAATTTCTCTTTGTTCATCACAAACTGACTTTGTCATCGGAGTGGTTATCCCTGGAACACCCCAGGATTAGCTGATCCTTTTTCTTTGTGTAGGTTCTCGTCTGGCCGATAGAAGCTTTACGGGTTCTATACTCGTGCTTTGGACTTTCGGACTGGGTTGTCGGATCCTTGCAGGAACAGAAGGGACAAGGATTTCAATGGCATCCATTTTTAGAACTCATTATTATCCACAAAATACGGCACGAATTTATAAACCAATCGAGGACCTTTTATCTCCAAAAAAATCCTCCAATTTACCGTGTTGTAACTGTTAAGGAAATCATCTTAAACAAACATTCAACTAATCCTGGAAGCATTAACAACGCTCTTGACAAATTTAAGCTTTGATATTATGTCGTCTTCACTTACATTACTCAAGCAAATCTGTATCGGGGATGATGTTCTTGTTTGAATCTGAGTGGAAATCCATATAAGTGATATAACACCTTATGTACGTGGTACTCACTTTATTAGTCACTTTCATAAATTAATCGTGTGGGAGTTTATTTATGGTAATTTAATCTCTTGCCAATGTATGAACAAGTAGTAAGACTGGCCTTAGGATTATAAACTATATATATAATTAGTACCATATAAATTATGTATGTATTTCAATCATCAGCTTAATTTTTAATTGAGTTGATCATTTGACGTGATATCAGAGTTAATATGACAAAAAAGTCACAAATTCAAAATAAAGACCCTCAAAAGGTATGTCATGATGGTATAAATGTTTTTACATATGATCAATTATTGACTTATTGTACTCCCCCCGTTACGAATTACTCGCAACAATTACTAAAAATGGCTGGTACACATTACTTGCAAGTTGCAACAAACTTATTTCTTTCCTTTTATGGTAAATTTTTTTGTGTGTGATATTACACATTGCCCTTACTTTTTTTTCCTAAACACCCTAATTAAACTACTGATTTTATCTTATTAACTTAAACCCTAACATTGATTTAATCACCTCCCATCTAAATTCTTCTTCATCACCACCACCACCACCATCACCTTCATTGGCAACAACCACCACCACCACCGATCGCTACTAACGCCGGAAATCACCGACGTCGTCTTCTTCCTCGTCGACACCTTCGTTTTCTCTCTCTTCCTCTTCTAGATCTGACTTTTTCTGGGTTTGTTGTGTGTTTGGTGGGTCAAATTTCTGGGTTTGGTGCTTGGTGGGTCGAATTTATGGGTTCGAATTTCAGGGTTTGGTGGTTTTGGGTTTGAATTTCGTGGGTGGTTTCGTGAGTTCGAATTTTTGGTTTTGAAGTCGTGGGTGGTCTCGTGGTGGTGGGTTCCGGGGTTGTGGGTTTCAGGGTTGTGGGTCTGGGTTCGTGGGTTAGGGGTTTTGGGGTGGGTTGTAGTGGGTTCGGCAGTTGGGGGTCTTGGTTCGTGGTGGTGATTTCGGGGTTGTGGGTCTGGATTCGTGGTGGTGGGTTTCGGGACGGGTTCGAGCCCCGTCAGTCCCGACCTAGGCGTGGGTCTGGGTTCGTGGGTTGTGGATTTCGGGGTGGGTGGTGGTGGGTTGTAGTGGGTTCGACAGCTTCGCGAAGGGTTCGCAGGTGGTTGTGGTGTTGGGTTCATTCGTTGGTGGTGGGCTGGTGGTGGTGTTTTCGTGGTTGTGGTTTTGCTAGGTGGTGGTGGTTTCGTGGTTGTGGTGCTTGGTGTTTAGTTTTTGTTTTTGTTTTTGTTTTTGTTTTTTTTTATTGGATTAATACTAATCACATCCCTTATTTTTCAATAATCACACTTAAGATATTTTGCCTAGGAGTTTGCAAACTCCCTCTTTGTTGCGAGTAACTCGTAACGGAGGGAGTATGCGAGATACATACGTACTCATATGAAACTTATAAATATCTCTTCAGCTTTTACATATGTTTGTAACCAAAACCCTTAAAGGTTAATGGTAAAGCTAATGACTTTCAAAGTTAGTAGCAACTTTAAGAACTAGGCCAAAGAGACGAGAGGGATTAGAGAACATAGGACAATGATCACTATCAATTTCATAAATATCAGACGGTGGCCATCTCTTGATCATCACATCTTGTTGCTCACGTGAGTACACTTTGTCATGCAATGTCTTGATGTAAACACGTGGCACCTTATCAGTGTCCTTACCATCGGGAAACATGGCCCCGCTAAGAGCTTTGGTTGGGCAAGGTCTCAATAGCATTTCTGCCAATGTACAATCCTGTGGAATTTTTTTTACACCACAATTTTAACCCTTTAATAATATAGTACATAATTAATGTGGTGTTGTAAGTTTGATTAAAATAAAGGAAATTTTGTCTAAAATCACCTGTTAATAACTGTTTTTTGTCGAAAACCATTCAAATACAAATTTTTGTTGTCTAAGACCACCCGATTCAACTTTCCGACCTTGACTTCGATTTTCTAGCGTTGACCCCGGGCACGTGACTACGCACGTGACTTTAAATCATCCCCCCTTCACCTTTTTTTTCCTCGATTTTTTTTGCCTACCCTGTATCTTTCTCTCTCCTCTCTCTATTCTACCTGCCATTGTTAGCCCTAAACTGAAAGTACTATCCCCCATTGTTGAATAGCAACAACATCCTTCGATAATCCCTAATTTTTTTATTTTGATAAGAAGGTTGTGAGGTTAGTTTTGGGGAATTAACTTGAGGACATGGCAGAGTGGTCTCGGTTTTCAAGGCATGGCGAGGTATTTGGAGTGGTGGGTTTAAGGTCGTTATGAGTGACGGGGGTAGGTTTTTAAATGGTGTGGGTAAATTTGGGAAAAGGAGAATAGCAAATGTGTTGGGTTTTTGGTTAGTGGGCTTAGATCTAAAGAAGGGGTGGATTAAGGTGGGGGAGGTGGTTGCGTTTTCGACTTTTTGTGACTGGTGGAGGTGGTTGCATTTTGTGGCTGGTTGTAGGTGTGTGGTTTGGTGGGTGGTCAGTAATAGTCACGTGCAAGTCACATGCCCCAAGTTAACGACGGAGTTAATGGTCAATGTCAGAATGTTGAGCTAGGTGGTTTTTGACAACAAAGATTTGTATTTGGGTGGTCTTAGGCAATATATTTTTAAGTAGGTGATTTTTAACAAAAACCAGAATTTAGCTGGTGGTTTTAGACAAAATTTCCCAAAATAAATTTATGTAAGTTTACCTCTAAAGGACTCATTTGGTACAATATCTCAGGATGAAATTCGTTTTTGAAAGCGGCACTACTTGGAGGATTGTTCGATTCCTGTGCACAAGTATAGTCAAATACTTCCATATTTTTAGACAAAACGGTCGATCCTTATAAGATTACACTTTACAATACAAAATTATACTTTATAAAAATACTTATTAAATATAATTGAGCTAAAACAATATTTTTTTGAAAAACAATTGTTACAAATTTTCAATTAAGCCAACTTTTAAGAAAAACAATTGTTACAAATTTCAAGCAATATTTTCTCAAGTACATCTGTTTATAATCTTACAATTTTGAAATGCATAAGAAAGAAAGAAAGGAACTTACATAATTTTTATCTTGTTCAGTTTGGAAGCCATTTCGGAGCATAAGAGCCCCAACAAATACCCCGACTTGGATTTTCTCAGGAAAGCTTTGTATAGCCTTTGTAACACTCAGTCCTCCTGCACAGTGCCCTACCAATATTACCTGATTTAACAAAATTGAACCAAACTTATCATGTTCGGATCCTATATATCGTTCAATATGAAGATTTTTAACGAGTTACAAGTTCATGATAACTAAAACATAATTAGATTATTTGTCTTAATATTTACTTTTCAAACATTAACTTTTTATAATTATAAGTAAAACATATAGTAATGTACGGTTATACTCACAAGTGTAAAATCATATTGTTGTAAAAAAAAAAGAAAAAAAAAGATGAATTATATTTCTTATAAAAATGACAATTAAATATGTTAACAAAAAAAATAAGTATGACAATAGTAAAAAAAGAACAAGTTTATTGCAAACCTTTTCACCTTCTGGTAGGCTTGCCAAAAGATGATCGAGGGGCTTATTATACTCTTCAAAAGTAGAGATAGTTTCAGCATCAACGGGGTTAACCCCGGCGCCGAGTAAATTGTAAATATGCACGAGTAACACAACTATAATCGTACAAATTTTTAATGTAACTTTTACGTGTCGATATAAGAGAACGAACAATCTACTCCGTATATAATTTCTGATATATATTGATAGGGAATAATATTCCCTTCATTCTTGAAAATTCGACTCACTTTGCATTTGTGTGGTATTCAATGAAAATCTTTAATCGCGGATATTTTCGACTATGTGTATGTGAAAATTATGAAAAGTTGATATTAGAAAATTTTATAATAAGGGAAATCTAATAAGATTCCTCATGTTAATTTATTTGTATTATATAAATTATAACATGTGGTCAAAATAAAACGTGAATAGTAAGTGAGTCGAAATTTTAGAAACGGAGATAGTACATGTAGCCAATAAGCCATTATTTTTAAGAGAACCCAATAAGCCCATATTGAGTTAGAAGTAGCAATTAAATATTAACTTAGCTTAATAGCCGATAAAGAGGGTATGACATGTTACAACTACTCCCTCCATTTTTAAATACTTGCTCCATTTCTCCATGCGCGGAGTTTTAGGAGAAATTGGAGAAAGTAATAAAATATGGAGGTAGTGGGGTAGTTGAGAAAATAAAAAATTGTAAAAATCAAAAGTAGTGGAAGAATAGGAGGAGAGAAAGTATTATGTTGGATCCACTAAGAGCATTGCCACCAATGATGAGAAAAATGCCCATGGGTAGTTTTTGGGGTTTAAAAAAAAAATAAGTCTCCATCAATGGTCTAAATAAAAATGCCCATGGGCAAATCAATTTTTGATCAAAGTTTGGGCAAAAAATTAAAATCTGACCAAGAAGAAGTGGGCCCCACGTGCGTAGCTGCAATTAAATTTTTTTTTGCTCACCTTATCTCAAAACGCAGCGTTTTGAGGAAGCGTGTGCTTTGCTTCAACTCAAAACACAGCGTTTTGAGGGAAGGAAAAGCAAAAAAAAAATTAATTGCAGCCCTGACAGGCGCGTCAGCACGCCCAATCAGGCGCTGACACGCGTCCTGTCAGGTGACTTGGACCAATCTGGAAATTCCTGATTATTGCAACGGTAATATTTTTGTAACGGGTATTTTGAGCTTTTAAAATAAAATAAAAAAAAATTTACCAACGGCTAGAAAAAAAAATTCCCTACAAATAGAGACCCATTTTGCCTATATTTTCATATTCCAAAATTCACATAAATTTGTTGTATTTACATTTTCTCTCAATTTCTCCCTCATAATTAGTCATCCTTTTAATATTAGTATTATTATTATTATTATTATTATTATTATTATTATTAATAAAATAAATATTATTATTATTATAATTATTATTATTATTATAATTATTATTATTAAAATAAATATTATTATTAGTATTATTATTATAATTATTATTATTAAAATAAATATTATTATTATTATTATTATTATTGGAAGTATAATTATTATTGTTATTATTTTAGCAGTATTGTTAGTAATATTATTATTGTTGTTATTATTATTTTTGTTATTAATATTATTATTATTTTTTTTATTTGTGTTATTATTATTATTATTATTATTATTATTGTTATTATTGTGTTAGTTTTTGAAATTAATCAAAAAAAAATAGATATGGATCCCAATAACCCCTTTTACTCAATACTTTCTCAAAATTGTAATGATTTAGATGAGAATTTCATGAATCAACCTCAATTTCAACTTTTCCTACAAAGATTGAACAACACCTCTCTGCAAAATCCTCCACAACAACAAATACCTCCACAACTTGAAATACCTCTACAAATTCCAACTGAAAACACTGATTACGAGCAATCACCTCCTGTCTACCAAGGAAGTAACTCTCGGTACGATGATAGCCAAGAAGAAAATGTGCCTGAGACACCTCAATACCCTCCGTCGACTCAAAGAATACCAGTGGGTTCCAACCAATAACTCGCTAAAGCTAGTCGTATTTGGTCAGTCGCAGAAGATGAAGCTCTTATTGGGCTATATTTAAAATACAGTGGAAATGCGATAGTGGGTACGGGCATGAAAGCAGCTGAACTTTGGCGACAAATATCTGTGGCGTACGACATGGTTCAAGCTAAGAAGCCAGAAATACTACCACCCAGAAATGCGAAGAGCTTGGAGAACCGTTGGAGAAGGATGGCGGCAGATGTACTGTTATGGACAAGTTGTTATGATGAAGCGGGTCCGTTAACTGGAAGTGGATTCAACGAAGTTGATCGAATTCAAAAGGCCTCGAAGTTGTTCCATATATCAGCCAAACCACCACACAATTTTGTTTTTCCCCACGCTTGGGAAATGATAAAGAATGACCCAAAGTGGAGGCCGAAACTCAGATGGGCATTGTCACTAAAGGAACGACAGGATTGTCAACTGCGTTCGGAAGGGGACACCGAGGATAGCAGTGGAAGTGGAAAGAGATCGAGAACTGACAGTGAAGCTGAAGGAGATGTTCCCGTTGGTGGGTTTTCATCAGGAGGTATACCCAGACCCGGCGGGGTAAAAAAAGCAAAGGCTAAGCGTAAGGGAAAAGCTATTGCTCATGATAGTGCAATTTTAAGTATTGGTGAACAGATACAGGCTTGTACTGAAGTTAGAAGCTTCGAGGCAAATTTACGGCAGCAAAGGTTGGAGCTTGAAAGGGAAAAGGAAAAGAGGAAAAACAAACAGGTCGAATTACAAGAGAAGAAGATGAAATTTGATATGCTGCAAGCCATTATGTCAAAAACGACGCCACTTACACCAGCTGAAGAAGCGTGGAAGGAGGAACTAATTCAAGAAGTGTATGGTGGAAAGTAGAGTAGTTTATTATGCATTATGATTTCAAGTATTTTGTTTATTTTATGTTGCAATGAATTAATTTTTATTATTAATTATGTTCCAAAAATTAATCAAATTATATTACATTTTCATATATTTTGTTCAATGATGAGTCAAGTACTAGCTAGTGTGTGTAGATTTTGTCTTATACAATTATGAGTCAAGTGGTTGGTTTTATCAACCATTGAACTGTCAAATCCCAAAAAGTAGTCAAGTCCAATTGTAGTTTTTGTTTTATACAAGCATTGAGTAGTCATTTCATACATAACTTCAACCGTATGACAAGCATTGGTATTGATTATTAAGAATTGAGTAGTCATGTATTTTGTTTTTACTATACATTGAGTAGTCTGTTCACACTCAGTTGAAGGACATGCACTGATAACATTTCCTATTTAAAGGTGTGAAATCCATAAATTGATCTACAACACCAAAACATTCAAAAACCAAACACAGAAAATGTTTTCCATAAGCTCAACCTCAAGCTCAAATTCTTCTGATTCAGATCAATATGCGGAATTTGATAATCTAGTTGACGAATTTGTCACAAATCACTTACCTAACATAATGCTTCCTCAACCACCTCCATCCGAGATCGAAATTGTAAATGAAGATGAAACCGTCCCGCAGCGTAGGGGAGATAGAGGAAGGGAGAAAGGGCATTTGCAATTGTACAATGATTACTTCGCAATAAATTTTGTGTATTCCGAAAATCAGTTTCGTCGTCGATTTCGAATGCACAAACCTTTATTCTGTCGGATTATGAATAAAGTGGTTGAGGGCGATCCGTTCTTCCAGCAGCGTAGGAATGCAGCTGGTAGGCTTGGCTTATCACCTCTGCAGAAATGCACCGCTGCAATAAGAATGTTAGCGTACGGTGTTGCTCCGAATGCCGTAGATGATTACATACGCATGGGTCAAACAACATCTAGAAAATCAATGCAACATTTTACTCAAGGGGTGATCAAGCATTTTGAGGCCGAGTACTTAAGAAGTCCAACAGATGAAGATTTAAGGAGAATCCTTCACCAAAATGAAATGTTATCAGTGCATGTCCTTCAACTGAGTGTAGCATCGACTGCATGCACTGGGAGTGGAAGAATTGTCCTATGGCTTGGAAAGCACAATACGCAGGTCGTAGCAAGAACGCAACCCTTATCCTCGAAGCTGTTGCGGATCAAGATTTATGGATTTGGCATGCATTTTTTGGAATACCCGGCTCTTGTAATGATCTTAACGTCCTATACCGCTCTCCGGTGTTTGACGATGTTTTGAAAGGTCGAGCACCACCAATTAGTTTTATGGTAAACGGCCATGAGTACAACATGGGATACTACTTAACAGATGGTATATATCCGAACTGGGCAACATTTATACAAGGTATCACATATCCTCAACCCCAGAAGGACAAGTTATTTGCAGATAAACAAGCTGCAGCTCGGAAAGACGTTGAACGTGCGTTTGGAGTTCTACAGGCTAGGTTTGCCATATTACGACAACCCTCACTTGCTTTCGACGAAGAAATTTTGAGCGATATAATGAAAGCTTGTATCATTATACACAACATGATTGTCGAGGATGAACGACACAATTACACTCGTGCCGAAGTTTTGAGAAGGTATTATGAAGAAGATCGCCCTCAGCTTCATAGAGCAAGGTCCGGTCCGAGTACAAGTGCCACAGTGGATAACAACGAGCCTTTCGAATTTGACGTTGGCCGACCACCAAACGTTGATTTTGACGCGTATATTCAAAGAAGAATTACCCTGCGTGATAGCCAAACCCATTTTTCTTTGAAAGATGATTTAGTTGAGCATATTTGGCAAAAATACGGTGGTACAAATGAATAAATAGTTTTGTAATCGTTAATTTATTTGATTTGTATGATAGGTGTACGATCATTATGTTCCAATGTTGTAATCGTTAATGTTGTACTAATGAAAAATGAAATTTCGCATAAAATAATTATAAAAATAATTAATATTGTACTCATAAATAATTTAATCAATAAAAAAATTTAGTTAAGAATAAATATTATTATTTTATTAAAAAATACATTTTGCATAAATTAATATTAAAAATAATTAATATTGTACTCATAAATAATTTAATCAATACAAAATTTTGTTAACAATAAAATTAAGAAATACTAAATTACAAATTTAATGATTTGTAGGAGAGATAAATATTGGTGGGGTATAGGGTTAAAAATAGGAGAGAGAATGGTGGGGATTATAATTTTTGACCATTGGTGTAGAATAAAAATGACCAAGAAAATGCCATGGGGAGGAGGAGTGAGAAAGTGGTTAGAGAGAGATTGGGCAACCAAAAAAATGCCCATTAGTGGCAATGCTCTAAGTATGAGAAATAAATTAAATATTGTAAAAGCTTTCCAAAAAAGGAAATGGAGCAAGTATTTAAAAACGGCCGAAAAAGGAAAGTGGAGCAAATATTTAAAAACGGAGGGAGTATAATGTAACCCTTTGATCGAGTACCTTTAAATCAATCATAGACTATCATTCATTAATTTAATTTTTTTTTTTACTTGAGTTGATCCTTTAATATGGTATCAGAGTCGGTGTAACAGTAATGTCAGGTGTTCAAATTAAAGCTAAAACATTTAGATAAGAAATAAAATGAATAAATTAGTACTTCGTATATAAATCAAGGGGATTCATTGTTATTAAAATCCCGATTTAAATCTTAGAATCTTACGATTTTACGATTCATGTATATCATACGATTCGATTTACGATTCTACTCGATTTTACATATTTTTCTGAACTAGCGAAATCCTTACAAGTAAAAAACATGTTTATATAGGTTTTTATAAATAAATATTGTCAAGTATTGAATGCTTAATGGTTAAATAACTATTATCTATCAATAATTAGGTTTCAAACTCATAATTTCAATATATTTAATTAAATTTATATTTGACATCTTGATTATGCATGTCGGTAGAATCTTACGATTCTAAGATTCAATTTTTACGATTCGATTCCGATAGCCCCTTTCGATTCAAAGTAGAATCCCAATTTTAATAACTTTGAGGGGATTATTACTTTTATAGGAAACAAAATAAGGAGAGAAGGTTTAAAAGGTGCAGCTGGTGCGGGGGCATTATTCGAGGGGATAGAGGCGAAGTCCATGAAATGTTTGCACTAAGTTGTGGTGTGTGCACTTGTACTCGAGCGGAACTTGCTGCCATTTTGAAGGGCTTGAGTGTGGCTTGGAATGGAGGCCATAAGAAAGTGCAACTAACTGTGGACTCTGAAGTTGTTATGCGTATGTTGGTGGAGGAGCTCCCCACCAACTCTCCTTTTATTCACATCATTCATTCGGAGATGCAAAACTCTTATTTTCGAAAGGGAATGGGAAGTTACCATCTCTCATTGCTATAGGGAAGCTAATCGAGCAGCGAATTGATTAGCCAACTATGGGGTGACATCGAATGAGTAATTTGTCCCCTTTGAAGCGGTCCCGAAGGATCTTCATTCTTGCCGTTTTATTGGAGGACTTAAGTGGGATGACACACTCTAGGATGGTGCCGGCTAGTAGTAGTACTTAGGAGTGTTTAAGTATTTGTTTTTTCTTTCCGTTTGTTTGTTTTATTTTCTTGTTTCGGGGCTTGCCCCTCTCTTTCACCAAAAAAAAAAAATAGTAGTAATATCAGCGGTTACATCTACTTACATAGGCCTCACAACTGAAATTGGACCGGAATCAAGGTAAAAAAAAAAAGGTGGTATACTCCCTCCGTGTTTTTTTTTTTAAGTATTACACTTATCAAATCCGGCCGTGTTTTAATAAGTGTTAAACTTTCATTTTTGGCAAAAAGCTACATTAAAATATTATATCTCTCTCTACTCATGGTCCCCACCCAAACCCACTACTACTTTTTTTTATTATTATATCTCTCCTCTCAAATTCATTAGTTTTAAATAAACTATTAACTCCACTAACTTTTTTTTACAATTTATTAATACTCTAACTATCCCACTTACCTCTTATTTTATTTAAGTCAATTAAATTGCCTAAAACTATGCCCCGGTCAAACTGTAATATTTTAAAAAAAACACGGAGGGAGTAATATTATTTATATTATGAGTGGTATTTTAAAATACTACCCCCGTTAACAGTTACTTGCAACAAATGGGTCAGCGCGGACTCCTAAGCAAAACTTCAAAAACATGATTATTGAAAGTTATGGACATTTAATTATTAATCAAATAAAAAAAACAATTACAATTTAAACAGAATTTCCCAGAAGCACCACCACATGCTACCCAGAACCCACGAACCACCACCCACGCCATCCAGAAGTCATCGGAATCCACCCAACAACCAGCGAAAACCACCCACGAACCACAAAATCCACCTAAGAACCACCGAAATCTATGAACCACGAGCTACGAAAATCGCCCAACGACCAACGAAATCCATCCAAGATCCACGAAATCAACCCAACAACCACTAAATTCACCCAATAACCACCGAAATTCACCCGCGAACCACCCCTACAACCCTACAAATCCACCCACAAGCCACCAAATCCGACCACGAATCAAGCAAACCACCCAAGAATAACCAGATCTGAAACCCACTATTAGGATGAATTGAAATTTGAAGAGAGATGAGAGATTAAGATGATGAAATGAGAGATGAAGGAGGAGAGAGAAAGATGAACCGAGAGATGAAGGAGGAGAGAGAAAAAAAAATTAATTTAGATCAATGTTATAATATTTTGTAATTATGTGTAGTATTAAATGCTAATAATTTTTTAATGAGGGTATTTTGGTCATTTTAACATAAAAAAGTTACTAAACTAGGAAAGAAATAAGTTTGTTGCAAATAATAATTAGCACCCTTTTTTAGTAAATGTTGCAAATAACAGTTAACGAAGGTAGTATAATTTTAAAGAGGTGATGATTAAATCAAAAAGTGGCATTTTAAGGGTGGTAAAATGCAATTAAACATGATAATACATGATTAGTCATGTGAATTCTTATAAGATCAAATTTCATAATTATAATTTTTATAATTATAACCTACCTATCAATGACTAATAATATTTATAATTGAAATAATATTGGCAATCTTGAAATGAGAAAAGTATTTTTCAATTTTAGCAAAACAAAGAAAGTATTATGTATTTGTCACTACTACAAAAAAGGCCTTAGAGAACTGTTAGAATAGGCTTTATAGATCGCCTTAGGGGCGTTCTTCTGCTAAGCGATGTATAAAGTATAAAGAACAGGTCGTGTAGGCGTTTTATATAATAACAAATAGAGAATTGTTGTTAGTCACAACCATTCTCTTTTCCCTTCTTAAACTCGTACACCAAGGAAGGAATAAAGAACGGTTTAGGCCACTTAACCGTTCTATATTGCATTACAATAGAGAACGATTAAGTTAGATAACAGTTCTTTAATGTTTTTTTTTAAAAAAAAAAAAAATCTGGCCATAATTATTCGAATTACCCTTTTACGTATTTTATACTTCGTATTGTATTAATCCTATATTTTAATAATCTGTATTATTTTTGTATTTCATTTTAGACCTGTATTTGTTGTATTCCTGTTTTGTATCTTGTACATTTATCCTGTAAGAAAATCCATGATCCTGTATACGTGCAATATAAATTTATGTATAATAAAAATAACAAAAATATTTCCAGATTTGACATAAGCCATCAAAATATACTTCATATATATAATTTAATAGCGTCAGATTAACTCCATCTAATCCTTTAAAGACATGAAACACAGGTCCAAGCTCTAGTCCATCAGAAAGGCATACATAGATATAGATGTTTCAAGAGAATAAGTATATTACTAAACTCTTCTTCAGAAATTTGTCATAATTCACAAATACAGAGACAGTGAAAAGTCAAAAACAACAGTGAAAGATATTATAATCACATACGTACGTTGAGAAAACAGTATCAATGTGAGATGAAACCAAAACAGAGTTTTCCTTGGCTTTAGATTCATATTTGGGGGTGATCCTCAAGATAATATGATTTAGATCAGCATAAATAATTATTTTCCCTACAAATAAGCCGCCATTAAGATGATTTGCACCCTCCTTGACATAAAACTCTTCCACCTCAACATCAACTTCCCAATGAGATGTTTTTTTTTATCTTTTCTGCAGCAAGCAGCAAATACTGCCCAATAGGAAAAGGAAAACCATAAGAGAAAGATTGCTTATGATGTATTTAGAGAAACTGTATTCAATAAAATAATTGCAGACAAAATCGCAAGGATCACTTAAGTGAAAGGCGAGTGATGCAAAAGCCATGAGAAGAGGCTTATCAAGTATGCAAATTTTAGTAGATAGAGGGCATACAAAAGTCCAGATAGCTAAGGGCCAACACAATCAGAGTATTAGACAAAAAACCAAGAGAGAAATAAAGGGTGAAAGTCAAACAAAATACCAAAAGAGAAACTTTAATACCCAGGATCCTTCAAATTAAAAGTATCAGATTTCAAACATACTACTACATGTTATGATAATATCTAAATATGGATGACTATTATCCCATGTACAATCTAGAATATTTTAGAGTTGGGTATTTGGTCTTATCCATTGATGGAACCCTAGGAAATGTACATTATATGTATCCCGTACTAGATGGAATATGAAATACAACGTAACAATCTTCCCTTATCTCTCTTTATTTTCTATTCCATATTTAACACGTTATCAGCACCATTGCTAGTCAACTGAGTAGGATTACCAAACATTTATCTAGAATCCATATTATTATTATCATGTAAGTATGATCGCAGCCCATAACAATTATAATTTAACATTTATCTACTTTTGCATGCTTATTTATTGGAATATCAACATATATAACAAATACAGAGCATGATATATAATTTAAAGTTCCATTTTTATTTTTCTCCATGCTAACATTCTCCCCTTCTATTTCGTTCTTATTTATGCATGATTTGTATCAGGTTTATTTATGCATGATTATAACGTTTAATACATATTTTTGAATACTATTTATATATACTTATCTTTTAATATTATTTTGTATAGTGAAAAATGTCGAACCTTGCCAAGCTCGAATTTGTGGCCCTTGATATTACCGGAAAGAATATTTATCATGGGTGTTAGATGCTGAAATACACCTAGATGCTAAAGGGCTTAGTGAAACAATAAAAGAGGCTAATAAGGCAACACCTCAAGATAAGGCTAAAGCCATGATTTTTATTCGCCATCACCTCCATGAAGGGCTCAAAAATGAATATTTAACTGTGAAAGACCCGCAAATCCTTTGGAGTAATCTAAAGGAAAGGTATGACCACCAAAAAACAGTGATACTCCCTAGAGCTCGTTATGAATGATTAAATTTGAGATTGCAAGATTTTAAATCTGTTAGTGAATATAACTCAGCTATGTTTAAAATAACTTCTCGATTGAAATTATGTGGAGAAAATATTACTGATGCAGAAATGCTTGAAAAGACATACTCCACTTTCCATGCTAATAATATTGTCCTGCAGACACAATATAGAGAAAAAGGTTTTAAAAAATATTCTGAATTAATATCCTGTCTTCTTGTGGCTGAGCAAAATAACGAGCTGTTAATGAAAAATCATGAATCACGTCCTACTGGCTCTACTCCATTCCCTGAAGCGAATGTGACAACCCATAACGGGAAAGAAACTAAAAACAGGGACCATTCCAGCAGTAGTGGTCGAGGTAGAGGTCGTGGTCGTGGCCAATGGCGCGGCCGGGGTCCTGGACGTGGAAATGGTAGAGGTCGTGGAGGTCATTTCACAAACTCACATTCCCACCAGAAGTGGGAACGTAGGGATGAAAAAGAGAAAAGTGATAACAATATATGTTACCGTTGTGGAGGAAAAGGTCATTGGTCTCGGGTTTGTAGAACTCCAAAGCATCTTATTGAACTTTACAAAGAATCATTGAAGAAAGGAAAAAAAGTTGAGGCAAACCTTGTTCTTGAAGATGGTGAAGGTGATTTTGATTTTGGCAATGCCAATCAATTTGATGTTGGTGATTTCCTTACTTCCCCGGAAGGGAATAATTTTGATTTTGACAGTACAACTCATTTAGAAGTTGTCGTTTTCTTCACTGCCCCAGAAGGGAATAATTAAAATTATATTGTATTATGTCAGTTTTAAGTATTAGACTTATGTTTGCTTATTCTAGTAATTTATTTAAGTTTATTTCTTTCGTTGTAATAAGGATTTTTGCTTTATAAATTTTTGAACTATTTGAGTGTTTTTATTGATTTATTTGTTTTATCATCTTTATTTTTATGCTTAATATTTTGACATGTATTTTATTTCATGAAGAACATGGATATTACTCAAGTTCAATTTGCTATGAATGGTGAAGAATTATGTCTTGCTGACAGTGCAACTACACATACAATACTTAAAAATAAAAAATATTTCTCTCATTTGATGATGAAAAGGATTAATGTAAGTACCATATCGGGTAGTACAAATATCATTGAGGGCTCCGGAAGGGCCACTATAAAGTTGCCTTGGGGAACTGAAATTAAAATAATTGATGCTTTATACTCCCCATTGTCTCAAAGAAATTTATTAAGTTTTAAGGATATTCGCAATAATGGTTATCATATTGAGACAATCAATGAAGAAAATAACGAATTCCTTCAAATCACAAATATAACTCAAGGCTCAAAACATGTTTTGGAGAAACTACCTACATTCTCTAGTGGTTTGTACTACACAAAAATCAATGTTATTGAATCTCATGCTATAGTAAACCAGAAGTTTACTAATGATTTTGTTGTTTGGCATGACCGGTTAGGCCATCCTGGTTCAATAATGATGCGAAAAATAATTACGAATTCATGTGGACATTCTTTGAAGAGCCAGCAAATTCTTCATAATAATTTTTCATGTGCTGCTTGCTCGGAAGGCAAGTTGATTATTCGCCCATCACCAGCTAAAATTAATTTTGAATCAATTAGTTTTCTGGAACGTATACAAGGAGATATTTATGGGCCCATACATCCCCCATGTGGACCATTTAGTTATTTTATGGTTTTAATTGATGCATCAACTAGATGGTCACATGTGTCTTTGTTATCAACTCGTAACCTGGCGTTTGCGAGACTACTTGCCCAATTGATTAAGTTACGGGCACATTTTCCAGATACTCCCATTAAGACTATTCGGCTTGACAATGCTGGTGAATTTACATCTCAAGCTTTTAATGATTATTGCATGTCCATTGGGATAAATGTTGAACATCCTGTAGCACATGTTCATACACAAAACGGTCTAGCAGAGTCATTAATAAAACGTATTCAGTTAATTGCTAGACCATTGCTTATGAAATCCAATCTCCCAATTTCTGCTTGGGGACATGCTATATTACATGCAACAGCACTAATTCGCATTAGGCCAACAAGTTATCACAAGTTCTCCCCATTACAATTGGTTTATGGTCAGGAACCAAATATTTCCCATCTAAGAATTTTTGGATGTGCGGTTTATGTTCAAATAGCTCCACCACAACGCACTAAGATGGGTCCTCAAAGGAGGATGGGGATATATGTTGGGTTTGAATCCCCGTCAATAATTAAATATCTTGAGCCTACAACAGGGGATTTATTTACGGCTCGTTTTGCAGATTGTCATTTTAACGAGTCACTTTTCCCAACATTAGAGGGAGAAAAGAGAGAGCTGGAAAATGAAATTAAATGGAATGAATTATCATTATCCTATCTTGATCCTCGAACTAAACAATGTGAACTGGAAGTTCAAAAGATAATTCATTTACAAAGTTTAGCGAATCAATTGCCAGACTCGTTTGCTGACCCAAAAAGAGTGACCAAGTCGCATATTCCAGCTGTTAATGCTCCATTTAAAATAGATGTCCCGGAAGGACCAAATAAAATTTCTAATGAGTCTAAACCACGCCAAAAACGTGGAAGACCAATAGGTTCCAAAGATAAGAATCCTCGGAAAAGAAAAGGAGCATTGATTGATGATGATCAAATTGAAGAAACAATTTCCGAAGGATCTCCAGAAGAGACTTTAGACATGATACAAGAAGAAATTCAGGTACCTGATAATGAAGAAATTTCAATAAATTATATCATGTCTGAAATTACATGGAACCGAAATCAAATCGACGTCGATGATGTTTTTGCATGCAATGTAGCATTAGATGTTGTGGATAATAATGAGGATCATGAACCAAAATCTATTGAAGAATGTAGACAAAGAAATGATTGGCCAAAATGGAAAGAAGCAATTGAAGTAGAATTAAAATCTCTTGGAAAAAGAGAAGTATTCGGACCAGTAGTCCGTACACCTGAAGGTGTAAAGCCAGTGGGATATAACTGGGTCTTTGTGCGAAAGAGAAATGAAAAGGGTGAAGTTGTAAGATATAAGGCACGCTTAGTTGCACAAGGATTCTCACAAAGACCTGGTATTGATTATGAGGAGACATATTCTCCTGTGGTGGATGCAACTACTTTTAGATTTTTGATTAGTCTGGCAATAAGAGAAAGACTTGACTTACGTTTGATGGATGTAGTCACAGCTTATTTATATGGCCCACTGGATAATGACATTTACATGAAGCTCCCAGAAGGATTCAAGCTGCCGGAAGCAGCAAAATCTAGTTCTCGAGAACATTTCTGTATTAAATTGAACAAATCTCTTTATGGATTGAAACAATCTGGGCGTATGTGGTATAACCGTCTAAGTGAGTATTTGTTGAAAGAAGGTTATAAGAATGATCCTATCAGCCCATGTATTTTTATAAAGAAATTTGGATCAGGATTTGTTATAATTGCAGTGTATGTTGATGATTTGAATATCATTGGAACTCCTGAAGAGATTTCAGTGACTGTCAATTATTTAAAGAAAGAGTTCGAAATGAAAGATCTAGGAAAGACAAATAGAGCACCTAGAGAATGGAATCCTTGTGCATCAATCAACATACATAGAAAAGGTTCTTAGAAAGATTTTCTTTGGATACAGCACATCCATTGAGCAGCCCTATGGTTGTAAGATCACTTGAAGTAGAGAAAGATCCATTCCGACCTCGGGAAAATGATGAAGAAATTCTTGGTCCTGAAGTACCGTATCTTAGTGCAATAGGAGCACTAATGTACCTTGCAAGTCATACACGATCTGATATATCATTTTCAGTTAATTTATTAGCAAGGTTTAGTTCATGTCCAACCCGAAGGCATTGGAATGGGATTAAACATTTACTTCGTTACCTTCAAGGTACGAAGAATATGGGTTTATTTTTCCCAAAGTTGTCCAAAGAAAATTTGATTGGTTTTGCAGATGCAGGTTATTTATCTGATCCTCATAATGGTCGGTCACAAACTGGATATGTGTTCACATATGGTGGTACTACCATTTCTTGGCGTTCCATGAAACAAACCATTGCAGCTACTTCTTCCAATCATTCTGAGATTTTAGCAATTCACGAGACTAGTCGTGAATGTGTATGGTTAAAGTCGGTAGTTCAACATATAAAAGAAGTTTGTGGTTTATCATCTGGGAAAGAGGCACCAACAACTTTATATGAGGATAACGCTGCTTGTATTTCTCAACTTAAGGAAGGATACATCAAAGGCGACAGAACAAAGCACATCTTACCCAAATTTTTCTTCACTCATGATCTTCAGAAGAATGGAGATATAAATGTATTGCAGATTCGTTCAAGTGAGAATTTAGCAGACTTATTTACTAAGGCTCTTCCGACAACAACATTCAAAAAGTTAGCTTACGGCATTGGATTGCATCGTCTTAAAGATCTCAAGTGATGTAGTCATGAGGGGGAGTTAATGCGCGCTGCACTCTTTTTTTCCTTAACCATGGTTTTTTCCCACTGGGTTTTCCTGGTAAGGTTTTTAACGAGGCAGCATCTTATGCGCATTATAGTGTATTATTTTGTACAGGTTTTGTAGTAAATGTTAGTTATTGTTTTATTCAATATATAGTCATCCAAGGGGGAGTGTTATGATAATATCTAAATATGGATGACTATTATCCCATGTACAATCTAGAATATTCTAGAGTTGGGTATTTGGTCTTATCCATTGATAGAACCCTAGGAAATGTACATTATATATATCCCGTACTAGATGGAATATGAAATACAACGTAACAATCTTCCCTCATCTCTCTTTATTTTCTATTCCATATTTAACACTACACTTTTTTTTTTTTTTTTTTTTTGTCAAAACAAGTTAGCTATTTCTAATTTCGAATGGAATTTTTTACTTTCAAGTTGTGAGTCACTGATAAAACATCACAACTATTTAGACTTTCTAATTTGCACGAATGCCAGGACTAATAATGTCCAGCATCAGAACCAACAAAATGAGGACCCAAATGAGTCAATTCCTTGACATGTTTCATAGCTTCAAGGAAATTCAACCCAAAAATCGACCTAAAAACCCCATAAAATCGACCTAAAAACCCCCAGAAATTCGACCCAAAAACCCCAGAAATTGCGAACAAAAAACCCCCACAAATTCAACAACCAAACTGCAATGTTGACAACACCCATAATCGGAAAGAATTCAAGTTTACAAACCCCCAATTTCGAGCAAAACAACAAAAAAACCCTAAGAAACCACAGGAATTCGAGCATTAATTCGAACAAATTCAATTATGGGCAAATTCGAGCAAAAAATTGAGCAAATTCGAGCATTAATTCGAGCAATTTCGAGCAAAAAAATTGAATCAAAACCCCAGGAAATCGTTGAGTAAATTCGACAAAATTAAGGGTAATTTGATTGAACTTACTGCAATAATTCGGCTTACATATTTACATACAAACAATCGATGAATTTATCCCAAAAACAAGAACTTTGAAGGTTTTTTCAATCACCTAAAATTCGAATTCTACGAATTTACTTCTGTTTCCTCCATAATTCGAATGATTCATGCAATTAGATTGACAATTATCAGAATCCAAATACTCTACCACAAGAAAAATTCGAACCAAAAAAAAAAAAATCGAGCCTACGTACCTCAATTTACTGGTGGCTCAGCAGATAGATGCGGTACTGCAGACGTGGAGCGGCGGTGCAGTAAGCGGCTGATGAAGGATTTGCTATGGAGGTTTGATGAAGGTTTCACTTTTTTTTTACTGATGAATGAGAAAGAGATTCACTTTTTTATGAAAGTGAAAGTGATGAGCGCTTAAATATTCCCTTTTAGTATTTTGGGTAAAAAAATTTTGACGGAAGTTTCGGTAATTTATTTTATTTTATTTTTTTGAAAACATGGATAAATTATTACTGTGTATGTACGTATGTATATAATTTCCTCCTAATTAAAAATAAAAAATTAATTAATATAATACAAAACGGTTGTCAAGATGACTGTTCTATATATTATCTATAATAAATAATTATTATTTTTAATTATTTGAGTAAATTGAAATACAGAACGGTTAACTATACTAACCGTTCTATATGTATTAACATACAAAACGCCTCTTATATTAAAACGATCTATATTCTTCTGGAGAACGCCTACCTTTAATAACCGTTCTATATTTTGTGATCTCTAATCTAGTTTTTGGTGTAGTGTGTTAATTATCAAAAAAAATAAAATAAAATAAAATCTTTCTCATTATTCGCATGGGTGTGTGACGTATTCACAATAATAAATAGTTAACACATATTTTTTTTGCATGTATCTTGTACATATAGAGCTAGTTATATGTTATTGAAAAGCTGATATAGCATGGGAAGAAAGTCTTAAATTAAAACAAAACTACACTAATCTTAATTTAGAGAAGTTGAATCTAATAAACTGTAATCAATAAAAAAAATGGCAAGATCATATCAAGTTATCAACCACGTCTCCCCTAATGCATTGGATAAACACGTTTTATTATCTCACCTAATGCCACTTAGTAGCAACCTTAACAAGTAACCCAAATAATTGAGTAGGGTTGGAAATCATGGCACAATGATCACTTTCAATATCATAAACTTCAGACGGAGGCCATTTCTTGATAAACTCTTCATGTCTCTCAAGTGACATGAGATTGTCATTCAACGTCCTAATGTAAACACGTGGCACCTTATCGGAGCCCTTACCGTCGGGAAATTCAGCGTCGCCGGTAGCTCTCACCGGAGTTGGTCTTAGAAGCATTCCTGCTAGTGTGCAATCCTGTACCATAAAACATGTTCTAATCTTATGTACAATATAAACAATATATTGTATGTATTGTAGATTTAGGCACTTAGCCAATCTAAATCACATAAGAATAATCGTTTATGAAGAAAGCTTTAAGGTAATTTTAAAGTTACTAAACCTATTGTAAAGTACAACATGCCTAGGTATTGCCTAATACACACGAAGTGCACCCTTTGTTTTTTATTGTTGTTTTTTAAAGTGCAACAACACTACTAGAAAAAGGCTGATTTCCGACGGAATTGTTCCAACGGACACGAAATTCCGTCGTAAACTTCGGAATTTTCGACGGATTTTTATTCCGTCGTTTATTTTCGACGGATTTTAACATGCCGTCGGAAATTTATGACGGAACAAAAATCTGTCGGTATAAATACACTTTCCGACGGAATTTTCCGTCGGAATATTTAATTTCCGACGGACTTAAAATCCGTCGGAAATTTCCGACGGCAAATTCCGTTGGAAAATTAATTTTCCGACGGAATCATAATCCGTCGGAAATTTCCGACGGAATAATATATGATTATATATAATAAAAAAAACCGGCCTTTTATAATCTTCTAGGGTTTTCTCCTCCTCTCTCCAGATTCTCTTTCATCCGCCTCCTCTCTCTCTCCAGCTTCTCTTTCTCTCTCTTCCGCTCTTCTTTTTCTCTCTCTTCCACTTCTTCTCTTTCTGTGTTTCTCTCTCTCCTCCGCTCCTTCTCTTCCTCTCTCCTCCTCCATCTTCTTCTTCTTCTCTTTCCTTATTTCTCTTCTATTTCTTGGGGTTTTTATGGTCAAAAATCGGCATTAATGGTTTCTTTGGTCAAATTCGACCATGAAAAGTGTAGATCTAGACTTTTCATGATCGAATTTGGCCTATTAAAACCAAATTTCAAGAATTCGAAACCAATTTCAGTAAAAAAAGGTATGTTTTTCGAGTCTTTTTTTTTTTTTTGGTTTTGTGGTGGCTTGGTGCCGTGGTGGTTTCGTTTTTATGGGTTAGGTGGGTTGGTCGGTTTTATGGGTTAGGTGGGTGGTCGAATCTGGTGGTTTGGTTGGATGTGGTGGGTTTTATGGGTTAGGTGGGTTATAGTTAAATGGGTAAGGGTTAAATGGGTTAAGGTGGTGGTAGATCTGGGTTATTGGGTTAGGGTCGTGGTGGGTCTGGTGGGTGGGTTAGTTCGGGTTAGGTGGGTTAGGGTTGAATGGGTTAAGGTGGTGGTGGATCTAGGTTATTGGGTTAGGGTCGTGGTGGGTCTGGTGGGTGAGTTAGTTCGGGTTAGGTGGGTTAGGGTTAAATGGGTTAAGGTGGTGGTGGCGGCTTAGAGTTTGGCTTAGGGCTTGTGGGGTGGCAGTGGGGGTTGGACGTGGTGGTGCGTGGTGGTGTGGGGGTGGGGTGGGTTTTTTTTTTATTTTTGGCTTGTGGGGTGGCAGTGGGGGTTGGACGTGGTGGTGGGTGGTGGTGCGGGGTGGGGTGGGGTGGGTTTTTTTTTTATTTTTTTTGGTAGAAGTTTCCGATGGAAATTCCGTCGGAATTTTCCGACGGATTTGGTTTCCGTCGGAAATTTACGACGGACTTTTCCGGGCCTCAATTTGTCTTCCGATGCATGATTTCCGTCGGAAATTTCGTCGGAAATGTGTTTCCGACGGAAATTTCGTCGGAAAAGACCATTTTTCCTACGAAATGTTTTCCGACGACACGTTCCGACGGAATTCCGTCGGAAACCCTATTTCCGACGGAAAACAGGGTGTTTCCGAGGAATTTTTTCCGTCGGGAAACGGCACTTTTCTAGTAGTGCAAGTTGACTTCACGAAAAGTTGAGTAAGTATTACCCACTACGTACCAGGTATAGATAATACTACCCAATACCACAATAAATAAATAAATAAATAAATATATATATATATATATATATATATATATATTTATTTTTTGTTTTCTTTTCCCTTTTTTGTTCCCTTTCCTCTTCATCTTCTTCCTCCCTTAAACCCTTTTCCCACCTCCATGGATAGCTCCCATTGCCGGCCAAACCTCCGCCCACCACACATTCACCTCCCCGACAGCAAGAAACCCACCCCACCAGCTATTACCTTGGTCGAAATCCAAAAACACATAACTACCTCCGTAAAAAAACCACCGGAAACCACCCAAAAAAACATTGAGGGCGATAATTGTTTGTCGGTGCTTAGTTATTATTAATTTCTATACAGTTATCATTGTTTTGTGTATTGTTATTCTTGGTTTATATATTGTTATTCTTAATTTGTATACTGTTATTGAGAAGAGAGACTACATTTTTTCAACATGGGTAAGTTATTCTTAATTTGTATACTGTTATTGAGTGCACCTTTTTTTTTTTTTTTTTTTTTTTTAACTACAACAAGTTGACTTCACCAAAAGTTAGAAGTCTGAGTTGAATTTGTTAAAAGGAAAATATAATGACTGTGAAGTGCACCCTTTGTTTTTTTTAAAAGTGTAACAAGTTGACTTCTCGAATAGTTAGAAGTCTGAGTTGAATTTGTTAAAAGGAAAATGATTGTGAAGAATTATACTGAGTAACAATTATAGAAAACAAAAGGTGGGTCTATAGTTTGTTATAAAGTAAGTAATATGAAAGAAAGGAATAAAAAGGTCATTTATGAAAAATGTTACACTTAAAAAAAAAAAAAAAAAAAAAAAAAAAAAAAAAAAAAAAAAAAAAAAAACAGATGAAGTATACAAATATTTTACTTTAAAAAACAGATGAAGTATACAAATATTTTGCCAATAACTAAAAAAAATAAAAAATAAAAAATAAAAATAAAAAATAAAAAAGAGGTACCTCTAAAGGACTCATATTGTATAAATACTGACGCTGAAATTTTTTCTTGAAAATGGCACTAGTAGGAGGTTTGTCAGGTCCTTCACCATAAGTAAAGTCAAATACTTCTTTCCCAGGCAAATCAAGCATCACCTACAAAATTATTAACACATAACTATATAAGTAAATTTAGAAATTGATATATCGAGTACAATCTTTGTAAAAAGGTTACTCGTATTTGATAAGGATTATTTATGCATCGTACGGAGTACAATAAATAAAGTTCTCGGTATAATCTTAGAATATGCCAAATACAATCAATTGAATAAGATTGAACTAAAATTGTTAATCCATATTAATATGTAGCTAATTGATACTCCGTAGTTAAATTCAATTTTAACCACCCTAGCAAATATTGTAAATTGGGATGTGCTGGCTTCCGCATTCATTGGAACAAGGATCGAGGTGATTCATTTTAAATTTAGGGCAAATTCTGAATTTAGGGTTTAAAATATTACTCTATATATGACATGTGATATTATAAATGATTAATTATTAAGGGGGGAGGATGATAAATATGAATATGTCAAGTTAGATAAAATGGCATAATCAAGATGACTTAAGGGTTCTAATTTTAAAGTGTCCACTAATACGAAGTACTAAATACGGAGTAAAATTTATAGGAAATAATAGGTACTCCCTCCGCCCCTTAATTACAGGCAAATATTTCATTTTATGAGTCTCAAAATCTTATGCCTATTTTAAAAAAGGGTAATGATATATGTAGCCCTTAGGGCTATATATAAACATTAAATATACTTCCTAAAATGGAATTAAGTTTGGAATTCATGACAAAATTACGAGTAGATCGGTGTAATTAATGTTACTTTATCATTAATATTTTATTTTTTAACTTCTTATACATAGCCTTAGGGCTGTGTTTATCATTTTCCTTTAAAAAATATCACACAATCATCATGTATTTTTTTACAAATTTTTAAATGGGTCTGGTTCGCAGTAATTTATTGTGGACCGCCAACATTAGAGACAATATGATTATTTAATTAATTAAAAAAATTACTATAATGTCAGTTACGTGTGTATAAACCTTAGATCCACAATAATATTATTGTGGATCAAGTCCATGCAAGAGTTTCTTTTACAAAGTATTTTTTATCATTCCCATACAAAATACACATATACCAAAAAAATCATTACTTATTTTTTTATCTTTCTCATATAATATTCTCTACTTTTTATTATTCTCATAGAACATTCTCTATTTTTTTCTAATCTTTTTTCAATATTCCTCAACTATTTCCTTCCACTTTAATTCACGTAAATTTTGAGATATTTGCCTGTAATTAAGAGACAAAGGAAGTAGATTAGTTTTGAGATATTTGCCTGTAATTATGAATTATGGGACAAATGGAGTAGATTAGAGTGACAAGAATACCTTAATACTTCAATTATAATTTAAATTTTTATGTACTTAATTAAGAGCATTATTATATTAAGGAACACCAAGGCAATCAAAGTAATTCAAATTAATAGGTCTAAATTTGATCAAATTAAAGTTTATGAGTGGCAGACAACTGGTAGTGAATAGAGGTCCATAGGTGAGTTGTTCAGATCAGTTTGTAAAAGGAGCAAAAGATAAGAAATAATTTAATATCATTAATGAATGCATTGTTCCACTGTTGGAAAAATTGTTTTAAACCCCTATATAAGGAAAATAGATTAGAATGGAAAATTAGTTTCTACTATTAAGGGCGTTATATTTATGTAACAAAAGACGTTATATTTCACCGTTATTAAAATTGTATTATTATTTTTTTTTTTAATTTAATGCCTTTACAAACCAAACAAATAAAATTAAGATAAAATAAGAAAATTGTTTTCCAATAAAACAAAAAAATAAAACTACCTTCATTTTTTTTTTTTGACATTTTTCTATTATCATGCTTACTAACGCATGTTTTTAACGCTTAATATCTCTCATTATCAACATTGTAAAATTATAAAAAGTAGATATTAACAAAATATATATCAAGACAATTCAAACAAGATCCTACATAACTCTATTTTATCGTATCTATAAATCACAAAAACGAGTTAAAATGTAGTGTATGAATAGTGTAAAAATTAAACGATGTCAACTAAAAAACGGAGGTAGTAATTTATATCAAATTAAATTGAGCCTTAAATTGAAAAAAGGAATTAGGAACGTACATATTTTCTATCTTTTTCAGTCTGGTTTCCGTTTGGAAGCATTGCAGCCGCAACATATACCGCAGCTTGGATTTTATGAGGATAGCTTTGGAGAACCTCTGTTATATTGTATCCTCCTATACTGTGCCCCACCAATATTACCTACATTCAAAATCGTTTATTGGTTACAAACACGGAATAGTTAACACACATGTCAATCTAACACGGGTTTAACACGTACATATGTAACCAAAATTTCAAGTACAGAGTATTATTTACAACAAAAAGGGTACGAGTACTATTTGTAAGACATAAAAATTCATTTGTGGTAAATAATGAAATTCCGAGGTTATAAATAGTACACTAACCTTTTCACCTGGTGGTAGATTAGCTATCATATCGTGAAGGGGTTTGTTATACTCTTGAAAGGTAAACATAGTATTAGGATCCGAGGGCTCAATCCCGGAGCAACTTAGATCGGGGGAGCTTACCTTATGTCCGATGCTTTCGAGTAGGCATCGGACTTTGTACCAACACCACCCTCCATGACAAGCGCCATGGACTAGCACAAAGTGTGCGGGTGAGACTATATTGACCAACACAAATTCATCTTCCATTTTAATAGATGTGAAAAATGAGTGGAAAGGTAAGGTAAGTGACAAGAGAATGATGATAAGCCTACTAATATAATACCAAGTTTGTATTGAAAAATATGTGGTCTTCCTTTGTTGTAGTGGCCAAGATAAATTCGCTGCAGCCCATACTAATTTCAATGATGTAAGACCGTTGTCGACATCGAGGAAAATCATGAGAAAAACCAAATTTCCTAATGGGAGAGCTGATACACATACAATTGTTGTATGTGGGACCAGTATACAACACTAATAAAAAAGCGCCACATCAGCAGTACCAAAAAAAAGAAGGGGGAAATATGAGGAATTTTAAAAGGAGGAATGTTAGGCATTTAGAAATGCATAACAAAGGGTATTCATGTAATTATGTATATGAACAAACGAATAAATATTCTGATATCATTGGATGATCAAATGGTACCATTAAATATACAGTGATACTATATGTGCACATAATGGTATTATATATGCATTCAGTTGTACTAAATTTATGCGTAAATATTACCACTGAGGATTCAATGGTACTATATAAACTTTCAGTGGAACAATCAGCATGTGGTCCCCCATCACGTGATACAATCCGACCAAAAAATAGGTGTGGTCCACCTACATGCCTTTCTCTTCCTATCTCTCTCCTCTTTTCTCTATCTACCATGTGCTTTTATAACATTTTAATCAATGTTATGCATTAGTAAATGCATAACTTTCCTTCATTTCTAGTTCCTCGGGGAAATATTGGGGGAAAATAATTCAGCACTATGGCGCCATATCGTCACTTAAGCGGGAATGTTGGTGGCTGAAATAGTTGCCGCCATAAGCATTAATTACGTTAGTATGTTGATTTTTTTTTTTTTTTTTTTCTGAAAATTAAACCCATAAATATAGGATAATGTTCTAACTATTTTCAATTTTAAAAGAATGCCGGAGAAGATGGTAAAAGCAACTAACGCCGGCGAATTTTCCGGTAATTCAAAGTATATGAATTCGGGATGTTGTTCAATCCAGATGAAAGAAAATTGATTTTTTCAACAATCAACCATGTTCGATTCAATTTTAATTTTTATATAATTTTTATAAAATCAACCATGTTTCTGGGTTTTTCACATTAGAATATAAACTCTTGTACATAATATAGAATTTGTTCAATCAATTATTTATATTCAAATAATCTTATGTAATTTTTCCAATTCTTCAGCTTTTACTGAAATTATAAACTCTTGTATAACCTAGGTAAATTTAATTTTGAGTGATAAATCTGGGTAAATTTTGTTGCAGACTAAATTGAATTAAGGAAAATTTAAAGAGTGAGAAATATAGAGAAGAATTTGAATGTGTTAGATTGGATAATTAATACTTTCGTTGCTCTGTTATTTGAGTTTGCATTTGATGAATGATGATGACAACTCCAATTTTTTTCGTTACCCTATAATTCTGGATTAAATCTCCTTGAATTTTTTGCAGAAAAATATATATTAAGAAATAAAAAATTTTATGAATATTCATCCAGCTTTCACAGAGAATGTCACAGAGGAAGACGAAAAAATATAAATTAAGAAGGAAAAAAATTCACAATCAAACTTCGATGGGGAATATCGAAGAGGAATACGAAAAATATTAATTAAGATTAAAAAAAAAAAAAATTTAAAGTCAAGCTTCCATGAGAACGCTGAAGGAGGAAGATGAATAATGCACTTATGAATTTTATTATTATTTTTTTCGTCTAAAAATAAATTAAATATTAAATGTGTGTATTAGAAATGACATTAAATTTGAATTTTAAATATTAGGAATCACAAATTTGATTGAAAATTCAAATGAAATTTTAATTTAAGTTGAATTTGGGGCCCAATATATTGACTAATAAAATAAAGCCATGTCAAATTGTATGTATGCTCCACATACAATTGTTGTATGTGTAGCCTTTTCCTTCCTTGATGGGGTGAGGAAATAAATTGATGAACAGTAGCAAATGGGCCCACCACCACTTGCTACTCATTTTTTTTTTGGCTTAATGCACTTCTAAACGACGTGTTTTGTGTCGTTAATTACAACACCAAAACTCGTCGTTTTGAAGGTGTTATCAGCAAAAATTATTGTCAAATAATAATAATAATAATTACTGTCAAATAATTAATTAAATTAATTATTATTGTCAAATAATTAAGCTAATGTCAACAAAAACTTGTCTTGTAAATTCTTAATTAAACTAATAATAAATGTCAAATAATTAATTAAAAATTAATTAATTATAATTTTTTTTTTATAACAAATTAATTAATTATAATTAGATTTAGTTATTTCATAATCGTTATTTTATAAAAGTATAAATTGTAATAAAAACTTAAGTTAATAAAATATGATAATTTGTAGGAAAGAGAAAATATAATTGGGGTATTAAAAAAAAAAGTAAAAAATGAAGTGGTGAGGATTTTTTTTTTTTTTTTAAATCGTTGGTGGGATAAAATTTCCTTATCAAATCTCCTCATGAAGAAAATGAGGATTTTAGAAAGAAGAAATTGGGAGAGAGAATGAGGAAAGCATGTTGAGAATGCTCTAAGAAATGTCCGGAAACAAAAAATAAAATTTCCTCCACATTTTTAAAATGATGGTTGTGTTTGGGGAAGAGCTGAAAGTTGAAGCTGATTGTGTTAGCTGATTTTAACTAACTGGTTGTATTAACTGATTTGACTAACTTATTTTATTATTATTGTAGAAAAGTGTTTGGTAAAAAACTGATTATTTAAAGCTAATTGATTATGTGAAATAAATGACCAATAAACTAATTGTGGGGTAGGTGGTTCATATAAAATTTTTAATAAAATGGGGATATAAGTTTCATTTCACCATAAAATTGAATAAGCTAATTAACAGAAGCTCCTAAAAGGAGCTTTTTAAAAAAGAACTTATTTAGTAGAATAAGTTCTTTAAATAAATTTCTCACCAAACACCTTGAATTAGCTTATTTAATAGTCAATAAGCTAATGTTGGTCAAATAAGCTAATTTTGCTAAAATAAGCTAGTTACCAAACACATCTGATATGTTTTGACATTAGCACTATATACTCACACACTTCCCTTTAATTGTGTTTTATGATTTATAAGTAATAGAAAAAAAAATAGTCATGTTCATGTAGTATTTTTTTATCTTTATCACAATATATATTTTTCAAAATATCAACATTTTATAATTTTTACTTATTGATAATTATAAGTATTAATTGTTTATTATGTGCATTAGCAAATGTGGCTAAAAACATGAACTAAAAAGAAAAAATAAAGTACTTCATTTTTTTTACTTAATGGAACATGGAGGGGTGATTTCATTAAATAATAATAATAATAATAATAATAATAATAATAATAATAATAATAATAGTCATTATATTCAGCACTTACAATCATCCCTTAAGAAATCTAAATTCTCAATACAAGTAGTATTAAACACCGTTTTCAAAAAAAAAAAAAAAGTATTAAACACCCCTAAACTTATGGCATCGCTTCTGAACTACTCTTGAATAATTTTAGATGTCTTAAATTTGCATCGTTCTTGACAGAGCTCCATTATTGTTTAGTCGCAAAATTGATAAAACTTGATTTATCATCAATATTAGCAAATTTACTAGACGGATCTTTTAAATCTGCACCCCTATATCAACATATTACTCCATTAGATCCAATTCAAATACTTCGTAGACAATATTAAGGGTGTATTTGCTTCGTAAAAGAGAGAAATATATATAGAGCGAGAAGAAGATTATACTCCTTTAGAACCTAAATAATTGACACATTGCCTTTTTTTTCACTATTTATATACTCCCTCTGTTCTGTTAATATTGCAACAAGGAGGAAATTACGCATCCCGAAACACATTTTATATGCTAAATATCTATAATTGTGTGAGAGTAAAAATTATAAAAAGTTGATTTTGTGAAAGTATTATGTGAGACGAATCCAACAAGATCCCACTTGACTATACTTTGCTTAACGTATAACTCATATTATATGGTCAAACAAGAGTGATGAATAGTGCAAAAAGTCTATTGTTGCAATATTAATAGAACGGAGGAAGTATATTAACTTTGACTATCGTTTTAAAAACATATAGCAAAACATATATATATATATATATATATATATATATATATATATATATAACAACAAAACATATATAAGTATGAATATATATTTCCATAATAGGGAGTATCAACTTAAACCATGGTCTTTGAACTATATGTAGCCATTAATAAGTTAGAGGTAGCAATTACATACATCTTGGCATTGCTTATTAACAAAAAATGAGGGTTTGTCTATTTGTACATATGATACTCCCTTCGTGGCTTCGTCCCATAATACTTGGAAAGTTGAAGTGGATACATAGGTTAAAAAAAATTACAAGTGAGTATATTTAAAACATTTTTTTTTTATTATACTCCTTATAAAAGATTCTATTTTGTATTTTTATATATATTGAAAGAAAATAACAAGTAGGAGTGGGATAAGGGTAGTGAGGGGAGAAAAAATGTGGAAAAATATTATTTTATTTGTGATCCCATATCATATATAAATTAGTAACAATAAATCAATCTTAATTCTTGGAACCAGGAGGGGAATTCTAACTAATTGAACTTTTTCTCACTATCATAATATCATCAATATGTAAAATATATCACATATATACATTTTCCGACATTTATTTATCTAACATCTCTTAATCTCTAATACTATTGCAATTAAAACATAACAATATAAATTTTATAAACAGATTTAAGACTTTAATCACCAGCTTAAACTTTTAGTTGATGAGTTCATTTTTTAACACAGTATCACAAGAGTCATTGTGACACTAAAGTCATTGGTTCATATTCCATCCACCCCTTTTTGTAAGTGGAATATTTGACTTCGGGTATATAAATGCAAGCCCCATCATAAAATTTAGTCATCAGTTTAAATTTTTGGTTAAGTTGATCGAATCAATTTAACACGTACCCCTCATTATTACCAAATAGCAAAGAGAAAAAAAAATTGCATTATCAAATAACAAAGCAAATTTATTGCACTATATATTCTAATTATAAT